GCATGTACATGCCATAAAATGGAGCAGGTTGCAGCTGCTCTCACTTTTAATAGAGGGATGTGGCCCTCTAAGCCTACTTCTGTTGGAGGCTGAGCATTTCATCTGGCATTAGTGTGTAAGTATGTTAAAAATATCTGAGGGTGCATTCTAAAAATCAAGCTTAGCAAATTACTGTAAGTGGATAGATACTGAGGTGTTTTTTAAAATATCTTCAATTGCATTCCAGTTACCACAGCTTTACACACAGGCAAAAATTCAGACCAACCTAGATTGCTAGAGTTAAGAATATATCAGTTTTCCCTAGGAGTTAACATGTTGCAGCTTTCAAAGAGGTACTAACAGAACACTGTGTTGATAGACTCTCGTGCAAATTTTGATTTTGCCAGCAGAGGGCATGACAACACTGCAGAACCTATCCAAAAACACTTAAGATCACAATCATAGAATATCAGGGTTGGAAGGGACCTCAGGAGGTCATCTAGCCCCACTCCCTGCTCAAAGCAGGACCAATCCCCAACTAAATCATCCCAGCCAGAGCTTTGTCAAGCCTGACCTTAAAAACCTTAAAGGAAGGAGATTCCCCTGGTGATAAAACTTCAGATCATGACAAACTTGCTCAAATAAATTTGACCATAAGCATCTGATGAACATTAATATTCTCCTTCCTGCAAGGCATGTGCATGAATATGATCCTTCTTTTGAGAGCATTCCTCTGTTCCTATGTAACCTTGAACGTTGGTTATCTCATGATGTGTACAGGGACCAGTAACGTTCCTGGCCTTATTGGATAGGAATCCAGGAAGCGATGGTGGGGAACAGTGCAGCAGTAGATTCTTTCACAGTAAGCAACTGCTCCTGATTTCCCTCTGGAAGGGGTGATTGTGTCTTTCCCCAATGAGTCTTGGGACCACAAGAGATTCTCTCAAGATTTTTTTAAATAGACCGCAGAACATCATTGCAGCTCCAACCAAGTATCTCCAGAGGAGACACCTGCTCCTTAAAAGTAAGGGCTCTGCCAGGCTTCAGATTTCTCCATTGCTGCTGTTCTGACTGAGTCCATGAGCTCTTCACCTTTGGGTTCAGAGTTCAGACTATCCCACTGCCTCTGGTGGTTGCTGCTGCTGAGTTGGAGCCTACACTGTTGGCCGCCATTAAACATATTTTGTTGTGTGCTTTAGAACTCCAGACTTGCTTTGATAAGCTGCTTTGTTCTTCTTTGTTTTAGGTTGAACAGGGCGAGCCAGACCTACTTCTTTCCTGTCCACCTGACAGATCAGCTGCTACCCAGTGCTGTTTTCTATGCCACCGTGGGACCCCTAGTTATCTACTTTGCCATGCATAGGCTAATCATCAAACCCTACCTCAGGGCACAAAAGGAGAAGTGAGTCTGAGGTCATGTGTTCTAAATACGGAGCTGGGCTCTCCTATTCAGGTGCTTTTGGAAGCGGGGTGGCAGGTTTAGGGGCATTTCTCTACAGTACAATTGCTGTATTGGGAGTTAAAATGGGGAGCCTGAAGGATGATCGCTGTAAAGAATCTCCAACGCAGGCCTTGAAACCAGCCTGACTGAGGTCAGTAGGAGCATTAAGGCACTGACATGGGAAGTGCATCCTTGCACTGAATCGTATTTAATGCCTATAACTAATGTGGTGTTCAACTTCCTCATGTCAGAGAGTTGGAGAAACAAAGGGAAAGTACCGCCAGTGATGTCCAACAGAAGAAGCAGGAGGCGGAAGCTGCAGTAAGTCGTCCATTCCTCTGTCCCCAGTCTTGCCTGCTAGTTTCATCCTTGGTTATATTGTTCCATACAGCATATGCCACACATTTTGTTCTCCAGCTGTGTCCCCATTTTCATTTGCAGAACGCATACCGCCTGCAGTGTTGTCAATTCTTGAGATTTTGAGTGGTGTGATTTTTGCCAGGGCTGGAGCCAGTCTACTGATGATGTGAGGAGCTCCAGCCCTCTTGGAAATTTTAGCCCTGCCTGGGGGAAAAATCCCCTCCCTGATTGGCTGCATTCCACATTTGTCTGCCTCTTGGGGAAGAATAGCCAATCATGACCGCTGCAGCAGCAGGCAGAGCTTTTCCACCTCCACTCAGGACCCAATGCCATTCTCACAGTAGAGACGGGGGGCAGAAAGAGTCAAGAGTCTTATGGCAGCTCTGTGTGCCTGCCCTCCCCCCCCCCCCCCATGGTGAGCCACAGGATGTTATTTTTGCTCCTCCCTGTTCCCATCTCTTGCCAGGCAGTACCCAGTCAGAGGGGTGGGGGGGCGGCGGCAGCAGCACAGGAGGAAGAACCTCTCACAGCCCCCCAGCCCAGGAAGTAAGACTGAGTCTTGCCCTTCACCCCAGTGGCTGAGTGTGCTGCTGTCATTGGTGAGGGCAACAGAATACAGAGCCTCCCACAAGCCACAATTGTTGGCAATCTTTCATTTCTGTGGGACACTCTACCCATGGATTGGGTGATCTCCAGACATGGACTTGGAGCCTTCCTGTCGTCCCTAACATTCCCATGCCCTGTGGCCGCAATCCCAGGGCAGTTTGAGGCATTTCCCCCTTTCCTGTGTTTTTGTTCTCATCTTCATTTTCATATTTATGCTCAGGTGAGCTCTGAGACCATGCCCAGGCCCTGGTCTGCAGGTGTCTTCCTAATTCACTTGTCCCTTGTGAGCCTTCTGAGCTAAAGGAAACTGTTCCCACTTGGAGTTCATATCTCTTTTTAAATGGAATCTGACTGCTGAATTTTATTTTGTCCTTTGTGTTGTGGCAGGTTCGGTTAATGCAAGAGTCTGTCCGGAGGATAATTGAGGCAGAGGAAGCCAGGATGGGTAAAAAGTGCAGCATAACTTACTTGTTCTGAAGGGTTTGAGGAGAGGAATGGGGAGTGGGATCCCTATAGAGATTGAAGGGCTGGGGAGAGAAGTGGAAGGTAGGTATTAAAGGTGGGCAAACTTTTTAGCCCAAGGACATCATCTGGGTATGGAAATTGTATGGTGGGCCATGAATGCTCATGAAATTGGGGTTGGGGTGCAGGAGGGGGTGAGGACTCTGGCTGGGGGTGCGGGCTCAGGGGTGGGGCCATAAATGAGGTGTTCAGGGTGCAGGAGGGGGTTGGGGTGCAGGATCCAGCTGGAGATGTGGGCTATGGGGCTGGGATGAGGGATTTGGGATGTAGAAAAGTGCTCCAGGCCGGGCCCAAGCGGTTCAGAGGGCAGGAGGGGGCTCAAGGCTGGGGCAGAGGGTTTGGGCACGGGTGGGGAGGTGCGGGCTCTGGGGTGGGGGTGCAGGCTCTGGGGTGGGGCTAGGGATGAGGGGTTTGGGATGCAGGAGGGTGCTCCGGGCTGGGATCGAGGGGTTCAGATCAGGGCTAGGGAAGGAGGTTGGGGCGCGGGAGGGCCTCAGGGGTGCAGGCTCCGGGCATTTACCTCAAGCAGCTCCCGGAAGCAGCGGCATGTCCCGCCTCTGGCTCCTATGCGGAGGTGTGGCCAGGCGGCTCTGTGTGCTGCCCTGTCTGCAGGCGCTGCCCCTGCAGCTCCCATTGGCCACATTTCCTGGCCAATGGGAGCTGTGGAGGTGGCAGTTGGGGCGGGAGCAGTGTGTGGAGTCCCCTGGCTGCCCCTAAACCTAGGAGCTGGAGGGGGGACATGCCACTGCTTCTGGGAGCTGCATGGAGGCACGGCACGCGTGCGTGGAGCAGCCCCCGACCCTGCTTCCCAGCAGGAGTTCAAGGGCCAAATCAAATCGACTGGCGGGCCAGATGTGGCCCGCAGGCCTAGTTTGCTCACCCATGATCTAGAATCTTAATTCTTTAATGTCCTAGGGTTTACACTTGCAAAGATAATGTTCCAAAAGTGAAGTGAGGATAATTGATGTCGTGACATCTTCCTGAGTCTGCAGATAGCCTGAAATGATCTCTGAGAAGTGGGAGTTGCCACTTTTATGACCATTCTAGGTTAACGCCAGATCTTAATGACAACTGTTAAAGTGGCACTGTGGCTCTACCTTGGGATGGCCCTGGGTGGGGAAGTGGGGTTCGGGGGCTGTTGTTTGTGCCTCAGTCCCTGGGGGAGGTTCACCACTCATTTGATTTGGTGTTATAGGGGATCGGGTCAGTGTAGGAGTTTTCCTTACGTCCTAGTTGAAACACTCCTTTCGTTCCCAGGTTGGACTTGGCCTAGCATTGTGCATGATTTTGAAATTTTTTGAGGCAAGCTCTGTATTTGCCCTTCCAACACTGTTTCTTGAAAACGGTTCCCTCAGGCAGTATGAGAAGAATGCTAGGAAAAGGGGTGGGCTGATCTCTTCATCAGCTTCTCTACAGGTACCTGGGGGAGCCTTTTGCCATATCTTTGTTCTTGTGTGGAATGCAGGTTTGATTGTAGTGAACGCCTGGTATGGGAAATTTGTCAATGACAATAGCAGGAAGAACGAGAAGGTGAAAGTCATAGATGTGACTGTGCCCCTGCAGTGCTTGGTGAAGGACTCTAAGCTTATCCTCACAGAGGCCTCCAAGGTATGCAATGACATGTGCTTAATTGCCTTGTGGGTGTTCACCTTTGCTGCTGGCCCTGCATATCTCAGTCCTGCACAACAGCATCCTCCCCTGGCAGAGTGCAGGCAAACAAACCAGAAGTAAACTCTAATCCAGAACAAGTGCATCCACAGAAGGAGCTGCTCTAAAGCACTCTTAAATGATAGGTGTTAATGTTGGTTATTTAAACTCTTAACAAAGCTGACTCTTTTCCTGAATGTCCATGGCTTGTATAGGGAACAGAAGGCCTCGCTCAATTATATTATCAGATATATAATAACTACTGTAGGTGAGTGGGAGAATCAGATGCATTTAGCTAATGTTGGATGTTAAAGGGACACTGTCATCTTGAAAATTACATGTCTGAAAAATTATTTACCTGCTATTGTTATAAATAATGCCTAAAACCACTAGCAGAAAAATTAGAGGGGGAATTATTTTTTTATTTACTTTGAATTTACTTTACCTTGGCTGCACTTCTTAGTCACTTCTGCTGACTTCCCTACACAGTCAGTTTCCCTTGTTGTTTGTGAGAGTCTCTCACTCAGCTGCAGGGGGAGAAAAATACTTAATAAAATAGGAAAATTAAATTATAAAACCAGCCTTTAGACAGGTGTAATTGAGAGTGTCTTTTAACTTATGTTTTACATTAGTTAGTTGGTGTTGATGGTGTCCCTTGTGAAGGAGACCAGCTTCAACTCCTTTTAAAACTCCCTCTATTGTAACCTAAAAGCACGAGTGGAAGAGCTGTGAGAGTGCTCAGTGTGTTGTTTTTGTTGTTAAAGACTGGCCTGCCTGGGTTCTATGACCCTTGTGTGGGCGAAGAGAAGAGTTTGAAAGTGCTGTATCAGTTTCGGGGAGTTCTACATCAAGTGATGTCTGCTGACAGCGAGGCCCTTAGGATACCAAAGCAATGTAAGTAGCAAGGATTGCTTTCTCCTTCTTTCAGTCACCAAGCCCCAATTCCAGCAGAGAGGACAGGATCTCCTCAGGCCCCCCCACAATTCACTGGGGTGCACTCCACCCCAGTATCTGGCATCAGTGATGCCTTGCTGTTGCTGGTAGGGATGTCTCAATTGTGCAAGTGCTCTTCCAGGGACACTGGTACCATTAGCTCTGAGGAGTTAGCCTGTTCTGGATCAGAGGGGTAGCCATGTTAGTCTGGATCTGTAAAAGCAGCAAAGAGTCCTGTGGCACCGTATAGACTAACAGACGTATCGGAGCATAAGCTTTCGTAGGTGAATACCCACTTCGTCAGATATTCACCCACAAAAGGTTATGCTCCAATACATCTGTTAGTCTATAAGGTGCCACAGGACTCTTTGCCTGTTCTGGATGTCTCTCTAATGAATAGCTGCATTGTGATTTGGCTAAAGAGTACAAGTCCTTTCTAAACCAGTCTTGGCACCTCAGACTGTGTGCTATCCTTTTGAAAAATTATGGTTTCTGAGTCATCAATCTCTTTCTTTTGATAGTAGGTGAGAGTCTTGCATTCAGTGATTTCCTTTGCTGCTAATAATTCTGTTCTGCAAATGACACTATGGTAAATGTTGCTGAGAATTTAGGACATCTCTATTAACAAACATGAACTGAGTCCCTTTGTTCTTAACAGCTCACAGGATTGATGCGGATGGCTAATGTGGTGAGAAAACAGGGTGTCATGTATGGTACCTGAATCAACAGAAGCTGCAAAACCTTCCCCCTGGATTCTACAAGTTTGAAACAGAAACGGAGATGTTTTTATTTTTATGATCCATATAGAAGGCGGTGTCATACCAATTATGTTAAGGGGTAACGAGAAAACCTGCTCTTACAGGTACCTCCAAGGCAATACTGCCCTGGATTGTGGCTTGGCAGCCAATAGGGAACATGGCTGAGAACATGCAGTGCTCTCTGTGTGCCCATCCCCTGCCTGGCAGGTGTGAGAGGGAGAGCCCTAGCTGTCATGTGTCCAAGCCCTTTTTGCTGTGAGTTAACTGCAGCTCATTTGTCCAGTCTCATTGTTTCCTTTCCCTGTCAGCAAGATGGGAAGTGGAGGAGGCTCTTGGCGCTCACTTTCCCTCAGGCTTACAGAGTTGGGGTTAAGTTAACTGAAAACAAGTAGCTAATTTAACCCTTTCTGCTCCTAAGGGGAAAGTGAAGTTTGTGGCCACCTCCTAAGAATCCTCTCTGTCAATCTGGTTACTGGACAGAGGATGTGCTGTTCACCCCACTTCTGTATTTAAATGTACTTTTTGTTTAAGGACAAGTATGTTTGGAATGAAGTTCTCTGCTTTTCCTAATCACGTGGACCTTTTTCAGCATGCTTCGATCCAGCTGCTAGTAGCATTTGTTCCAAGCACTAGTACTACTCCAGATTAATTATAGATTATAACCACTGTCCATGTCAAATTAATTTTGCTCTTCCTCACCCAAGGACTGCATGTTGTTTTAAGCGTAGAGATGTGCCAAATAGGAGGAGGAACTGAAAACTTCGAAACAGAGACTGCCACCTGTCTGAGTGGCTAGATTCCCTCGAATAGCCTTAGGATACAATCCCTGCCTGTGATTTACCTGACCTCCAGCGAGGTGCACTCTTGCTCTGCCAACCTAGCTGAAAGCAGCAGGGCTGCTGGAAATAGCACTATTAAGTATCTGGCATCTTAGTACTTTTAGATATTTATATAAAAGGGAGAGTGGTGGCTATTACACAGGCACTGAAACGTAGTTCTGCTCTTGGCCAGTCCTGGGTGGGCCTTCATCACTTATATGCAGGAGATTTAGAAAGAAGCATGTATTGACAGAGGCATTGTTGCTACTGCTAATTACTGGAGTAAATAACTTCCTGACATGCATCTTGGCCCCTTATTTCTGAAGTGTAACTGCTGTTCTGTTTACTTATGTCAGTCCTGTCTCCCCCTCACAAGCGTGAAATCACATCAGGGAATTTCATTTGCAATAGTCCTTGTCCAAGAGCAGGTTTATCACAGCTATTCCAGGAAAGCTGATGATTATCTCTCCCCTCCTTGCTCCTACAATCAAGTGTTGCTTGCCAGGTTTTTTATCAGAAAAATCTCACCTTTTTATGCGTGAACAGCGCCTGTTCTAGGAATGCATTTCATTCACTACCATCTCACAGTGTTCTTTGATCTGAAGCTAAGTGTCAACTGTGCAATAAATTTTGTGTTCAATCAATTTTCAGTTGAAAACTGCCCGGTGTTTCCTTTGCTGCAGATGGATCTTCCACACTTTGATTACGTCACCTTGTTTAAAGCTGGTGGAAGAGAAAACACTGTATTGTCATAATAAATCCTCTTTGAAAGCTGTGGGTGGTGAGTTAGTTATATTTTTATAAATATAAGCTTGGCCTCTTGCAAATCCTTCCTCAAGACCCAGTGTGAATGGTGGTTTTTACAGTAAGTTGCTAAGTGATGATGGCTGGGCAGGATGCCAGTATCTTCAATAAAATACTCAAATGTGCATCAACTCTTCCACCTCTCACCAGCTTTTTATTTTATTATTGTATCTTAGTCTCAGATGTAAGCTCTTCTTAGGAAGGAACTGTCTCATCTGTGTTTGTAGGGTGCTTAGAACGATGTTGCTGTGGCTACTGTAACAGAATTTCTCGTAACAGGATTGTGTGGGAATTGAGTGAAGGCTGAGGTGCGAAGTAGTGGTACGTATAAAATAGCAGTAAAACATTTGCTGTTAAGTCATAGTCATTTTTTCTTATAATTAACATTAGCTTAACTAAATGCAATTGCCAGAAAAGTTCCCAGAGTCTTTTCTCACACACCCATATGCACCTGGCATTCTTTCTTTATTATAAAGGCATTTAGATTACAAATGCTGAGGCAAGAAGTGCGGGTTTGGGGAATTTTTTACATGGTATTTCTCAGCCAAGCTTCCTTCCCTAGTTCTCATTTGACCATGTGCATGCTGGGTAGTTATGATGTATGTGAACTTTAAGCTATGCTCATTAGAAACAGTAGTGAGTAGGTTACTCACTATTAAAATACTCTAGTCGGCAGCCTGTCGAACCACAATTCTTGCTGGTAGACAAGTGTTCAGAAAGTCAGGCCCTGTTCCCTCCCAGGAGGCTGTCTGGCCTGGTGTTTTTGCTGCTCCTTTTTGCAGGCCTGGAGCCGCACAAACATCCTCCTCAGTGCCATGCTCTTAACCTTCAGGCGTTTTCGCAGTTTTTCATTTTCCTCTAGTGCCTGGAAGAGTTTTTGTTTTAAGGAAGCACGGTCACTGACAGCATAGCTGTGATCTGAGGTCTGAACTGGGTGCTGTCTCTGCACTGGGGGCCTGGATTGCAGTAGCCAGCCCTCCACTTCTGTTGCCTTAGTTGTACTAACCTGAAAAGAATACAGGGAGTGAAAGTGAGGAATGCAGAGATTGGCTAGATGGGTATTATACAGGGAGACACTATGCAAGCTTCTTCCACAACATGACTAATGTACCACATCCTGAGCAACCCGATTCCAATCCAGGGAGTCAAGCAGAAGCTTTCCTACTAGTCACACTACTTTGCCTGTCTCTCTGAGACTGAAGTGTCTCCATATTTCACAGGTTAGGTTTGCATTCTCCCCAATGTACAGTAAGAGGAAGCAATTTGCTCAACACACAGCTAGTCAGTCGCAGACCCAACAATATAATCCAGGTCTCCTGACTCCCCAGTTCCTGCTGTGACCCCTAGAGAATTTTTTTTCAGCAAATTGTATAGTAGTTTTTGTAATGGACAGATATCCCCAAAGCTCAGCACTGAACTCTCTTAACGTGGGACCTTCTGTGTTTGAAGTCAAATCCCCAGAAACTAGCAGTGGCTGGGCTCTTACCCAATCCCCCTGAATATACTTCATGAAAACTGAATTATTCTTGAAGCAAGGTCAAGTCACCAAAGCTCAACAGATGCCTGCTCTCCAGTTCTGTAAGAATCTTATTAAGTTTTCAAGACAAGAGTGTAGAGGTCTGCTACAGCCAGTTCTTCTCTATATGAAGTAATAAAACATTCACTCATTTCTGTTTCCCTATCTCTGTAGTGCTTTGAGCTCAGCTGTGTGTAACTGTCAACTGATTTTGCCTAAGATATGAGGTAAAGTGACTAACTCTTACCTCTTCTATTGGTTCCTCTGTTGTACTGGGTTGGGGCTCTTGATGCAGAACAGTTTCTACATCTAATCTCCTTCCATCCTCTGTCCTTGTAAAGTCCTAAAGAGACCAGGAGAATTACCCAACCTCAAGCAGCTCCTATTTTCAACACCCCTGTTGTTAAAGTTTCAAGTGATTTCTGTTCCAGAAGAGACTGTCAGTGTAAATGAGCCATATGCTCCCTTTAGGCCTTCATTTTTATTTCAACATAAAGTACAAAATTCCTAACTGGAATTAAAATAGAAGTGATAAGCAATTGGGACTGAAATTTTTAGCTTGCTCCAATGCCATCCAGTGAAAATACTCACTTCGCACAGTTTGGCATATAAGACAAGTATCTACAAAAAGGGGGTATTTCAGTGAGAAAGGACCCCAAATCCTAGACAGAATCATAATGTGCTCTACAGCAAAATGCAGCATTGCCCTCAGGTTAAAAAAAAAAAAAAGGATGCAAAAGGCTGGAAGGGACAAATATACCTTAGGCAATCTGGAATCCTCAGCATCAGATAGAGGACTCTTTTCCTTCCTGATTTGCTATAGTAAGGACAAGGCTTTGAGGTTAGTGTGACGTTTCTGAGAATCCTAGTGTTAATTGTTGCCCAAGTCTGACTCCCATTTGGAAGGCAAACACATGCAACATTCTTGGCTCTCCAAGGAAAAATGACAGCAGTAAAAAATGATCACAGTTCTCAAGACAATGTAATATTGTATCCTTAAGCTTCACACAAGGTTTTAACAAAAACTTCCTCTGTTTGACTAAGCACAATGGGAATAAGACTGGGTGATGTGTATAGATGCATAAACTCTGTTTATGTAAGATCAGTTATAACTAACCCACAATCAATTCCAGGTGAACTAGCATCCCCCTGAGACCTGGTAGGACCTTCTCCCCCTTTACTTTTGAAAGGGGTAGGACTGTTGGTATAATAGCACTCATTTCAGGTTTTTAGCTAGAACTGAGGGGCAGAGAACTTGTGGCTACTCTAGCCAAGAGTGATTATCGTTTTGTCTTCTGTAGTATTTAAACTGTTACAAGGATAGTGGAACATGCTTCCCTCATATGTCAGTATTTTAAACATATATGGTTTGCATGAATAAATGTGTGGGAATTCACTTTGAGGACGAGGGAATCTGTGTGCAGGATACCATTTTTCAAGAACCTCTTTCACAGGTTAGAAATCAGAATCTGTTGTTGCAGCATATTGACAAGTTAAGTGTAAGGAGAGAGGCTAAAGATTAATTATTATTAACGGGAGCACTTAGTATTTTCCCAGCACTGCCAGCAGCCCAAGTGCATTAAACACACGATTAGAGCGGACCACTCGATGTGGCATTTTTACTACTGATTTCAGTGGGAGCAGGCGTAGGTTAACAGTGGTTGGGAATTGACTATCATAAAAATCCATAACAGGGCGTGACTCCTTGACTAATGCAAGGGGCAAAGCACTTGGGACACTGAAGAACAGCTCACACGATATGTGAAATAAAGTGATGCCCTTTGTGAGCAGTGTCAGTTATGTTGTCCCCATGGTACAGAAGGAGAAAGGGGGGAGCGCAGTGGCCAATAAGCTCCCCAGTGTCTCACACAGCCCCATTCACAGCCCCTGCTCCACCCAGTAGCTCCTACCCCTCTCCCACAACCAGAGCCTGAACCCAGTAGGGTTACTGAGCCGCCAGGATTGGCCCGGAGTCTCCAGGAATTAATCTTTAATTAAAGATTGTTATGTGATGAAATCTCCAGGAATACATCCAACCAAAATTGGCAACCCTAGAGCTCGGCCCCGTCTAGCTCACCCTGACGGTGCGGGGGAAGGCGAAGAGCGTGGGCACGGCGTTGGGCTTGAGGTTGGTGCGGTTGCCGAAGGCACTGAAGCAGTCCGGCTGGAAGTGCTGCGAGCAGAGCACCGTGTGCGAGCTGGGCTGGAAATTGCCACGGCCGATGTTCCCCACCCAGCGCGCCAGCAGCTCGGGCCGGCTCAATGGGAACCTGCCAGAGACACGGGGTGAGGCAGGCCGGGCCTGGGGGAGGGGCCGGGCCCCGCTACCTGAGGGAAGGGGGGCAGGGAGGGGCTGGTACTTGTGGAAGGGGGCGGGGCCGGGCCCCGGTACCTGAGGGAAGGGGCCCATACCTGTGGCTGGGGGGAGGGCAGGGGCCAGGCAGTATCTGTGGAAGGGGGGTGGGGAGGGGCCGGGCCCCAAGACCTGAGGGGAGGGGCCGGTACCTGTGGAAGGGTGGGGGGGGGCTGGGCCCCGATATCTGAGGGAAGGGGGCAGGGAGGGGCTGGTACTTGTGGAAGGGGGCGGGGCCGGGCCCCCGGCCCGGGGGGGGGGGGGGGGGGGGGGGGTACCTGAAGGAAGGGGGGCCGGGCCCGGGCGGTACCTGAGGGAGGGAAGGGGGGGGGCGGGGGGGGCGGTACCTGTGGAAGGGGGGGGGGGGGCCCGATACTGGGGAAGGGGGCAGGGAGGGGCTGGTACCTGTGGGGGGGGGGGGGGGAGGGGAAGGGGGGCGGGGCGGTACCTGAGGGAAGGGGGCCGGGGCCGGGGCCGGGGCCGGGGCCGGGCGGTACCTGTGGAAGGTGAGCTGCTGCCGGCGGCGGCTGCTATAGCGGTTGCTGCACCGAAGCGCCGCGCACGATTTGGGCATCGCCCCGCGCGTTGCCCCCAACAAAGATGGCTGCGCCCCTCCTCGGACCCCGGTCGCCCCCTAGCGGGGCGGATTTCCCGCGCGGGGGCCAAGCGGTCTGGTTGCCCCCCCGCCCCGGGGCAGAGAGCGAGACTCCGCCCGTCAATGACAGCCTTTCCCAGCATGCATCGCGCCTCTCCTTCCTTTCACGCCTGCTCTCAGCGCCCCTGGACGTCACGGGTTGTGCGCAGGGCAGGCTGGGAGCTGTAGTTTCTGGGCCGCAGGGCAGGCTGGGAGCTGTAGTTCGAGCAGTCGCTGCCCCGCCCGAGGGGGTCACTCGCGCCCCCCCTGCTGCGCCTGGGCCGCGCCCCTGGGGGGCTCCGCGGAGAAACGACCGCGAGCGCCGGCTCCCCTGCCCCGCCCGTGACCCCTGGGCGGCTCAGCGCCCCGCGCCCCGGCCCCGGCCCCCTGCGGGGCGGGCGTTGCTTGGTGGGGGAGCGGAGGCCCCCCGCTTACAGGGCGGCAGCAGCTGGGGCGGTAAAAGAGTGCCCAGGAGCCTGAGCCCCGCCAGTCCGGCCGCCCTCCCTCTGCCAGGCCCCTGGCCGCCCTCCCTGTGCCAGGCCCCTGGCCGCCCAGCCTGCCCTCAGCCCATCCTCCCTGGCAAAGAAAATACAGCTGCCAAAATCCGCTCCCCCGCCCCCCAAACGAGCTGCTTCTCCTCGCTCCGCGGGGCTTTGCCCCTCTGTCCCCGCCCTGCGCCTGCCTGTTACCGCAGAACCCCCTGCCTCCTCTCTGCCCCCCATGCCAGCCCGACTGCCAGCTTCACCCTCTTCCCCTCGCACAGGCCGCTGGCCTCCCTGCATTGAGCTGCAGGCCTTCTCTCCAGGGTCCACTCCGCCATGCATCCAAGGTGTCATCCAGGTCATAAAAGCTGGAGGAGTAGGTGGGGACAGACATTGGCTAAAGAACAAGATATGTTGTATATATTTGATTGCATCACCCCCCTCCCCCATTTCATTTGATTTTGTATATTGCAAGCTCCACCTAGCCCTACTGGACACTTATTAGGGCCTCTGTCCCCCGTGGAAACAATAGAAGCCTAACTTCCAACCCAGGGAGGAAAAAAGCAAGGAGAAAATGATCACATTAATGGATGCTTCATATTTTTAAGAAAAAAAGTACCATTTGTTAAAATAACGACCTTTAATGAAAAAATAAAGCTCTGAATTAACTTGTAATCACACATGGATGAAAATGATTAACTCAAAACACATGGAGATGTTTGTTCCATCTACCTAACATTGTAACATGCTGGGGTTGTCAGACACCATCTATTGGGGGGTAAATCTGCAAAGGTAACAGAACAATAGTCAAAAGAGTTAAAAGTAGTCATGAACCTCTAAGAAACAGAGGCAGCTCACTTGGCAGTTTCTTGTATTTCTCCCATAAAACAATAGGAACTTATCCTACAGTGGTCCAGTCGTACTGCAGACATGCTGTAGCCACAAAGATGCCAACACTTGCATCAGGTCAAACCCTTACACAGACTGTGAACAGAATCTTCTTCCAAAGCCTTTTATGTTGCAGCGAAAACAGCAACACTTGCAAACTTTGGTTATTTATCTGGCTGCAGAAGACAGCCCTAAGAGGCAAATCTTTGGCAAACTCCTGGTTCCATTTAGCTTCTGGTAGGTAGTGTATCCTGGTTGTCTTAGATTTTAGTGGAGCTGTTTATAAAACCAGATTTCAATCGCTGCAGCTATAAATCAAATTCATGTTATAGGCTTTTCAAACCGCACCAAGTTTTTAAATGGACAGTAAAATAAAATAGTGCAGTTCTATCAATGATAAAAAGTAATGGATCTTTTCCATCATTAGGTCCCATCTAATCAAGCCCCTGGGCATTGTAGGACTATGCTATACAATCTGTTCCAGTGCTCTGCGCAGCCTAGTGTTAAAGTCCAAAAGGGGGTCCTTGACACTGCCAGGATGTTTTTCCTGATAAATCAGTATTCAAATAATGTAGCAGTCTGATACAGAGCATCTGGTGCATTGATTCCTGGCAGTTCGATCTTCTTTCATATATAAATGAAGATCAGTTAGTGACTCCCGCTCATCTAATATTCTGACAGGACAGGATATCCATTGTTCATTAAGCATCATATGATTTAGGAGAATTCTCTCAAGAACAAAAATCCAGTTTGTGCAATAAATACAATGTATTCTCACTTTGGTCATTTAAAAGGCCTGCACCTTAGTGGCTTCACGTATCAGTCTTGTTTCCCTGAACCATTCTCTAGACCAGTGACAACTGCGCTCACTGCTCCTGAAAAGGGCAGTCACAAGGTACAAACATTTTCTGGTCCCAATGCATTCCCTTATCCTTGGCAGTTCTGGATTGTTCTCTCAACTGCAGTCGACCTTGCCAGTTGCATAGGCCATCTATCCAGGTTGGGCTGGATGCCCTAATGCATGCATTTGCTCCCAGTTGTATATGTGCATCCACCAGTTCAAAGATTATAAAATCTTCCCATTTACAAATCCAACCCAGGAAACCATTAATGAAAATGCAGGTAAACCCAGCCCAAGTACTCAGATGGGGACAGCCCAAATCCAAACTAGGCCTGTCTAAATTCCTAGATTTTAATTTATCAAGGCCAACTGTGCAGCCCAAGCGTTACTTCTGGGCTGGAGGCGGGAAAGGAATCGGTGTCTCTTAAAACAATGCCTTTCAGCAGAGATCTGTGAAATGAGACACCACACAGGGCTGTGGAACAGACTGGATGGCAGCCCCCGACCTCATGTTTGAGCCACTCATGCAAAACAAAATCATGAAAATGGTTTTAAGAGGACTCAGCTCAATTAAGGAAGAAAACTGACATGGCCACCTCAAGCACACCCCACCCAGAAAAAAGAAAGGTCTGTATCTCTCTTTTAAAGACAACAGTCCATAGACCTTTGGGAACTAATTGGTTTTACCAGAAACAAAGCCAAATCACAGAACTCAGTGGATACTCTCCTACTACCCAGCTGAAGGGGAGGCAGCTCACATGCAAGTTAAACGTGCATTCAAGCTCACGCTGAAGGAGCCTTCAGAAATTCTTAAGATTGATTCATATGGACAAACGGACAGGTCTAGTATTACAATAAAACATATGGCTGTTTATTTTCAGACTCTTCAGAGATTTCTCTCCTCCTGCTCCTGCTTTGGAGGATAATTCTTTTCTTCAGCACCTAGAAGTCTTGCACTTTCTTAGCACTTTCCCAGTGGGATGAAAACTGATAGGTGGCGAAAGTATACACTCCCAAATCATCATCCCATTCATAGTCTGAACTGGACGAAACCCCACTGAACCTGGGGTGCTTAGTGTGTCCCTGCTTTAGCTAATCAGTCTCTAGCAGAAGTTTTGGCCAGCAGGCCTCTTCCAGCTCTGGCAGTCAAAGACATTGAATACCTTATGTCTGATTACACAGACAGACACTTTTGCCTGAACAACTGCAGTTCAGAGGAGCTCTCCTTGCCCCCCTGGCTGGAGTTCTGTGTTTTGCATGGCTAAGCTGCCCAAGCAGAATGCCAGCATGGTAGTTCCCTCCACTAGTCCAGAAAGCGCCTGCGTGAACCCGTACGGGAGCGGTTTGAGCGGCGAATATCAAACTTGGAGTCCCGGCACTTCTGGCAGACGTAGACCTCTGGGACATTTGATTTGCGGATTTTGGCACAGGAGAGGTGAATCCAGGTGTGACACTCATTACATTCAATCATTGGCCGTCCAGCAAAAGGTTTCATGCAGAAACAGGTGACGAGATCCCAGGAATCATCATCTGGAAGGAAAAAACAGCAAGTTAAAACTATTACTTCTTTCCTCCTGCTGCATGCTGAACTCTCCCTTTTAGCACAAACTTACTCCTTGGTTTAAAGGCAGTCCCTACAGGCCTGTGATGATTTGCAGAATCTGTCACTGTACAGCCAATGAGTTCTGTTTGTAATTATGAACTCTGTACATTGAAGCCCTTATGGTAAACTGCACTGTGTTCTTGCCTCATACTTCTTATGCCCAGGAGATGGGAGTGGACCCTGCATATCTATCTATGAATAGGTCAGTCATTAAAGACTACCAGCACCTGAACAGATCTTGCCTGTACAGAACAAAAGAGTCACTGCATCCTAGATAAAACCATTTTTCCTCCAACTTCTCTGCAAAAGGTTAGAGTTTGAAGGAATGGAATTTCCCCAGTGGAGGGAACAAAGATGAGGTATGGGTACAGCCCTTTAAAACACAGAGACTGGGCTGGTCAGACAGACAAAAGAAGCTTGGGGCACGAGAAAGCAACAAAGGGCCATGCTTTTGTAACAGAAGGAACTTTTTGAAGGTAAGTACCAGCTAAGGCTGCAGGAAGCTGCCTGCAGGAGAGAAAGATACTCCATATTATGGAGGAGACGCCGTGAGCTGTAGGAAGAGTATCCTGGACACCCTGAAAGGACGCTGACCCAAATCCCAAAGAACACTCAAGAGTGGCGAGAAAAGTGAAGCAGGGACTGGTTTGTAGCTGTTTTTTATTTTGCCTACATCAGTATGTAGAGTAATTGTGTTAGAAACCTTCTGCAAACTGTGTGTTCATTTGCTTCAATGATCATGTGTCCCTGAAGAAGTAAACTGGAAGCCAGAATGCCCCCACAGTTAGAGCTCTAGGCAGGATGTGAAGCAACTGTGGAGTTTCGGGAAAGACAGAACTCATCTCAAGGCCTAGGCAGTTGGATCGCAGAATCTCTGCTTTCAGAAAAGGGTGCTAGAAAGTGAATGTGCACCCTGAAAGTGTGCCTAGAAACAGTGCCTGAACTCTGCTCAGAGTCAGAAAGCTTAAGAGCTCATGGGCCCAGTGCTGGGACCCAAATACAGCAGCCTGGTGAATGTCCAGCAGGAGGATGTTGACAAGCCCCTTCCAGGGCATGCCAGAAGCTGTAGTCTACACCCTCTATTGCCTCCTGCACTTGCTCTAGGACAGAATCTCAGCAAACCCAGAGAGTAGATACGGAAAGAAAAGGGCTCTACTCCCAAAACTAGCTTCCAACTTTTTGTTCAGTTTACATTAAGCCTCTCAGAAAACACAGCTTATGGGAAGAAACCCTCACCTCAGAGTCTGGAAAGCTTAATTCAGGTGCTAGGTCACTAAGCAATAAATATTCCTTGCTCTTCTCTATCCACTTCTACCCAAAGATCTAAAAGTGCTTTGCAAACACTAATGAATTTTGTCCTTAACCCCCCCGGGAGACAGATCTGCACTATCCCATTTTATAGAGGAGTTGAGCGCTAACAACATACTAGATAGACAGATGATAGTCAGATCTCAATCTGACCAAACACCTCACAAATATCTCCCCTTAGCAGGGTCATTTACCTGAATCCACCATAATGTCCTCATCATCACCAATGCCATCCTCGTCCCGAAACACAACCTGCTTGCCCTGCCGTATGACCGTGCGTTTGCCCACGCTCTGTATCTCCATGCCCTGCTCAGAAGTCTCAGGAGGGTACGAGACATTGGAAGGAGTGTCAGAGTCCCATACTGAGCAATGGTCAGTCACAGACTGAGGATCGCCCTCAGATGAGGGACTCATGGGGGTCTCAACACAAGAATCCTCTGCCTCCAGCTTCAGCAGCTTCCTCCCATATTCTTCCTCCACAGGCGCTTCCGTTTCTCTTCTCTTCAGTTTTTTCTTTTTTCTGATCTTATCGGTTTGCTTTCGCTCTGGCAGAAAGCTGCTCGGTTTTGCCCGCTGGAATAGGGAAACATATGGTTTTGCTCGCTTGAGCTGACTAAAGCTCTTTCTGCTCTTGACTGGCAGGGAGACAGCAGAAGGGAGGTCATTGAATCGGGGGTCCCAGCTATCACTGTCGATGGTACCTCCAGTACTATTGGGGGGGCTGGGGCTGCTCCTCAAGGGGGTCTCCTAGAAAATATTAAGAGACCAGATGTGAATATCATTTTAGAGTTGATAGTAAACCTCTTAAACAACCACTTATTACACCCACCTTTTTGAAGTGAAAGGACGGGGAAGGATCTATACCTGTCAAAATAGGCTTCCTCTCATCTAACTAAAAATCAGATAATCTCCACTTATCCAGCTGCCATTCAGTCACTAGCCTACATTATTTACCTTCTCTCATCCTTACCTGTGGTCCCGGACAGGTACAGCTGAGTGTTAAAGGCACGAAATAGTTTTCAGTAAAGTGTTTCCGGGAGTCTAGACTCCCAATTTCTTCCAAGTGCTTTGTATCCTAAGCCCCTGCTGGGAATTCCAGCCAAGGAAAACAATAGGCTCATTTTAAAGGTTGTGTGGCAATCTGAAATTTGTGGCTGCCTAGGCCTAGGATACAAAGGGGAGGGGACTCTGGCATGAATACCTTTAACATAATATTTTTACACTGCACAGAAATCATTCACCAATCAAATAATTTAAACAGAAATGGTACTTACTGACCTTTAAACTTTTTTCTGTCCCCTCAAGCAAGACAGGGGTTTGGACTGCCTCACTTTTGATTAAAGAAGGGATCACATCATATTCCAGGAGCCTGAGGAGTACATTTAACTTTATAAGTGTAGGGACATTTGTGGCTCAGGCGGGAGGCTGACAATATCCAGTTACGTGCCAAGTTCCATAATTTGTTTCGGAATATTACAGGCCAGTGGGTTCCTTTTTGTCCCATCAGGAGCTTTTACAGGACCCTACCCTTCACACACATCCACTTTATCTGTCTAGGTATTTATACCATGCTTGTTACTCTGATAACATTTAACCTCTCAACAGCACTAGCTATAGCAACATGAACCTGAAATAAAATAAGGATCGAGTTGCTGCACCATTACCTCTTGTGGGTAGGGAATGTAGCCAGCATATGCCAAGACAAAGGTGCAAAACTTGTTGAAATCTTCCACAGTTCTGTGTCTCTTGGAGCTGGGAGAAAAATCCTGTTAAAGAGACAGCAACCGGAATATTAATATGAGATTTCTGAACAAACCAGCTATAATGTAAAATCAGAGACAGCATAAGGATTTTGTACACATGGGTATCCACTTCTGAGATTGATAGTTTCAGAGTGTCTCTTATATAATCAAAATGCAAGAGAGGGCACCTTGGGGCAATCCTGTGATTTAACATTCTTGACAGGGCTTTTTGCTGAAATTGAATTCTCAAGTTTGTCTGGCTCCCCATCTAGGTATTGCCACATGCCTGTCTCCAGCGGTGGTCTCCAACGGCTTTGAGGTCTAATATTGTATTGAACACAAATGCTTCTTTAAAGTCAACTATTAAAGACAGGGAAGAAGCTAACCAGTCACTAAAATAGCAGTTTGGGTTCCGTGAAGGCTGTACACCCTGTTAATGTAACTAATAAGTTAAATTCACTGATTGCTGTTCTCTTTCTAGTGCAAAGTCTATATCATGGCTCCTACCCAGAACTCAAAGCTCCTGGAAACAGCAGACTAACTACACATGGAGAGTCTGCCTGGACACAGAATACTTCTTCAGGGCTTGCAGTTCTTTATATTTTTGTATTGAGACCCCAAAGCACTAGCCAATGCCCAGTTTCATGATAACCCTTCCATCCCCACGAAATACAAAAGAATACGGAATATATTTGTATCTAGTCCCAACCCACACTTTGAACTGAACTGTCAAAAAGCAAGACAAACTACTGAGAATTCCTCTCCTCCCTGCCTGCAATCTTCCCTATTTCCCTGTCGGCACTGGACGCTGCCAGAGAAAGTCACTGTCTAAAGAAGCCATTCCTGCATGGGGAACAGCACTGGAAGCAACAGCAAAGTCTCCTCCATCTGTAATGGGGGAGGAGGATTAGACAGCAGACATGGGGTGGAAGACTCTGAAGGGGGCCAGATAATTGGACAAGGGGCTCTGACTCCTGGGCAGAGGGGATTAAATCCCAGTGATGGGGGTGCTCAGATGTGGTTAAGAGGGTGCAAGAAATGGCGCTCTAAGAGGGTTTGGAGAGGTGTAGATGGGGATCAGAGCCCCAAATTCAGCAAGGGCTTTCAGCCCTGGGTTCTGAGCTGGGAGGGGCAGCTCTCTGGGTGGGAGTGGTGCTCCAGGCACTGGGAGGGGGAGAATTTCCAAGGAGGAAGAGGGTCAGAGCCCAGGGTGGAGACTCATGGGGGTTAGAAAGTTTGGTTGGGGGGCAAGGGAGCTGGGAGGGGCAGGGAGGAGGAGGGTCAGATGAAGTGAGCTGTAGTTCAGGAAAGCTTATGCTCAAATAAATTGGTTAATCTCTAAGGTGCCACAAGTCCTCCTTTTCTTTTTCCGAATACAGGCTAACACAGCTGCTACTCTGAAACTCCATGGGGGAATCTCTGAGGGGCGGGGCGCTGGGGTGGGGGGTGGAATCTCTGAGTGTGGGGGGCCGAGGACCCCGGGTGGATGGGGTATCCCTGGGGGGGAAGGGGTCGGGGGGGGATCTCAGGTGGAGGGGGATGCCGGGGGGGGGAGGGGCTGGGCGGGGGATCTCGGGTGAGGGGGGATGCCGGTGGGGGGAAGGGGCCGGGCGGGGGATCTCGAGTGGGGAGGGGATGCCAGGGGCAGGAAGGGGCTGGGCGGGGCGATCCGGGGGGATCTCGGGTGGGGCGGGTACCGGGGGGGAAGGGGCGGGGCGGGGGATCTCGGGTGGGAGGGGATGCCGGGGGGGGGGTAAGGGGCCAGGCGAGGGATCTCGGGTGGGGGATGGATGCCGGGGGGGTAAGGGGCCGGGCGGGGGATCTCGGGTGGCGGGGGATGCCGGGGGGGAAGGGGCTGAGCGGGGGATCTCGGGGGGGATGGGGGATCCCGGGGGGAGAAGGGGCCAGGCGGGGGACCTCGGGTGGGGGGATCCTGGGGGGGGAGGGGCCGGGCGGGGGATCTCGGGTGGGGGGGGAAGGGGTCGGGTGGGGGACCTCGGGTGGGGGTGAGGGATCCCGGGGGGGAGGAGCCAGGCGGGGGATCTCGGTGGGGGGGCCTCGGGGGGGGGGGGGCAGTCCCGGGAGGGGGAGAGGCCGGGCGGGGGATCTCCAGTGGGGGTGGGGGAGGGGCCGGGTGGGGGATCTCCAGTGGGGGGGGAGGGGCCGGGCAAGGGCTCTCGGGCAGGGGGGAAGGGGCTGGGCGGGGGATCTCGGGTGGGGGGGGGGAAGGGGCCGGGCAGGGGATCTCGGGTGGGAGTGGGGGATCCTGGGGGGGGAGGGGCCAGGCGGGGGATCTCGGGTGAGGGTGGGGGATCTCAGGGGCAGGGGCCAGGCGGGGGATCTCGGGTGGGGGGCCTCTCGGTCAGGGAGATCTCGGGGGGTGGATCCTGGGGGGGGAGGGGGGAGGGCAGGGGATCTCGGGGGGGGGACTCTCGGGCGGGGGGAAAAGGGACCCGGCGGGGGATCTCGGGGGGGAAGGGGCCGGGCGGGGGATCTCGGGGGGGATCCCGTGGGGGGCGGAAGGGGCCGGGCGGGGGATCTCGGGGGGGGGTGGGGCCTCTCGGGGTGGAGGATCCCGGGGGGGATCCCCAGAGGGGAGGGGCCGGGCGGGGGACCTCGGGTGGTGGGGGCCTCTCGGGGTGGAGGATCCCGGGGGGGGGGGGGGAAGGGGCCGGGCGGGGGATCTCGGGTGGGGGTGGGGCCTCTCGGGGTGGAGGATCCCGGGGGAGATACCCAGAGGGGAGGGGCCGGGCGGGGGACCTCGGGTGGTGGGGGCCTCTCGGGGTGGAGGATCCCGGGGGGGGGGGGGGAAGGGGCCGGGCGGGGGATCTCGGCCGGGGATGGGGGATATCGGGGGGAGGGGCCAGGCGGGGGATCTCGGGTGGGGGGCCTCTCGGCCGGGGGTATCTCGGGGGGTGGATCCTGCGGGGAACTCTCGGGCGGGGGAGGGGAAGGGGCCGGGCGGGGGATCTCGGGTGGGGGTGGGGGATCCCGTGGGGGGGGAGGGGCCGGGCGGGGGATCTCTTGTGGTGGGGGGCCTCTCGGGGTGGAGGATCCCGGGGGGGGGAAGGGGGATCCCCGGGGGGGGAGGGGCCGGGTAGGGGACCTCGGGTGGTGGGGGCCTCTCGGGGTGGAGGATCCCGGGGGGGGAAGGGGCCGGGTAGGGGATCTCGGGTGGGGGTGGGGGATCCCTGGCCCTGGGGTGGGCGGGTCCCTGAGGGGGGAGGGGCCGGGGCTCGGCTATCGCTGAGGGGCCCCGGGGACCCCTGAGCGGGGGGTCCGGCTGCCGCGGAGCAGGTCCCGGGCTCCGGCAGGAGGGGGGCGGGGGGGGAGACGGCCCCGGGCTCACCTCAGGGGGGAAGGGGGAGGCGCAGGGGTCGGGGTCCATGTCCCAGCGCAGGCGGCCGGGGTCGGGCAGGTGGGGCCAGGGGCTGCCCGGAGCGCGGGCCCGATACCGACGAATCAGTTCGATCTCGCCCGGCAGCGCCGACACCTCGAACCGCCCGGTACCGGTGGGAGGGAGGAGGGGCAGGGGGCGGGCGCCGTGTGAGGCAGAGGGGCTGCCGGGAGTTGTAGTTCCCCTCCCCGCGAGCGGCTCCGGCGGCGCTCGCCGCAGGGGCTGCCGGGAGTTGTAGTCCCGGAGAGAACTACAGCCCCCAGCATGCCTCCCGCTCCCTCAGGCCCGCCGGCTGGGGGTGCTGCGGTGGCGGCGGCGCGCGGAGCGGTAAGCGCGGGCCGGCAGCGGGTTCTTGTTCCCTTCGCCCGCGGCCGTGTGGGGCTACGGGGAGGCTCCTCCCCTGGGCCTGCCCCCACGAGGGCCTGTCACGAGGCAGCCGGGCCGGCGCGCAGGGGCCTGTCTCTCCGAGGCGGGGCGCGCCACCGGGCCGTGCCGCTGCCCCCGCCCCCGACGGGCTCCGCGCGCCAAGCCGCGCCCCGGTGAGAGGCGCTGCCGGGCCCGCCGCGTTCCCGCCTCCCTCAGACCCTCCCCTCCCCCACCCTGCGCGAGGCCGGCGCCTGCGTCGCTTGATGCCCCGAGAGCAGCCGCGCGGCCCGCGGGGCTCGGGCCAGAGGTAAGCCCGTGGCCCCGCCGCATGGGGCCGGCCGAGGGGGTGATGCCGGAGGAGGGAGACCCGGGGCAGAGCTGTCCGGTCAGCTCGGACTCCGGGAGATGGGAACCGCCGTCCTCCGCTCGCGGTGTCCCGCTGCCTCGTGCTCTCCCGCCCCTCCGGTGTGCGGTTGGGATCCTCTCTGGGGGGCGGGGGGCGCGGGGGCGCGGGTCGGGAGGGCTAGGTTTGTGCCAGCGTTCCCTTACACACTCACACACACTCACAGTTTGTGCCAGCGTTCCCTCACACACTCACACACACTCACACTCACACTCTCTCACTCACACACACTCACACTCACACACACTCTCTCAGAATATTGCCATCGATCATTAAAATGGGCAGGCGAAGCATGACGCATATTGCTTTACCGTTTATCAGAGTTTCGTTTAAGGTTATTTACTTTCTATATTTTGACATGCGAATTGACATTTTGCGTTTTGACAGCTCGAAAGCTTTTTTTTTTTTTTTTTTGACTCTCAGGGCCTGTCGTGAACTAATTGATTCTCCCCCATAATTTTGCACAACTGTGAAAATTTAAATCAACAAAAGTTTTAAAAAAGGCTTAAGAATAAAATCAGTATTATCCACTGAAATTATACACCGACAGAATCAGATTCTGCAAAGTGTCTCTGGGCAAATTGTTCAGTTAGCTAAAGAGCCTGAGCACCTGGCAGCCAAGGAAAATCTTATTCCAGAAGGACACCAGCAGGACAGTGGGGTGGGAGGAGGTATTGTTTCATATTCTCTGTGTATATATAAAGTCTGCTGCAGTTTCCACGGTATGCATCCGATGAAGTGAGCTGTAGCTCACGAAAGCTCATGCTCAAATAAATTGGTTAGTCTCTAAGGTGCCACAAGTACTCCTTTTCTTTTTGCAAAGACAGACTAACACGGCTGTTACTCTGAAACCTGTCATTATTCCAGAATATAATCCAGGATTTAAGGAACACTCTTGTGAGTTATTAATGTATAGATACCTCTTTTCCAAAACGCTAATTAGTTGTTGACCCCTGTTTTATGTGGAGATAATGAGCATCTGTAGCACACAGTTTTCAATAGTTGTTTTTGTTTTTTTAAAGAATTTGACTTTTACTTGTAATAAAAACAAATTAAATTCCCTGTTGTAACCGAACACAAAGCGAGTGGCATATAATAAAATCTCACCAAACCAGTCTCTTGAGAACCATGCCCTGGTGTTAGTAATCTGTGAACAACAAAATAAAGTGGTGCAAAACAGGTTCTTCAGGGTTCAACAGCAAAACTTTAAATTAGAAGGACTTTCTTCAAAGTGTCAAACTAAATCTTCTTGCTCTTTTTTTCCTTAAGTCAATCCGTTTCCCCTGTAGTGGCAGAGTTAGAACTGGGTGTTTTACCCACGAAACCTTATGCCCAAATATATCTGTTAGTCTTTAAGGTGCCACTGGACTCCTCATTGTTTTTCCTTTTCTGTATCTGAAGCTTGATGAGGAGCCCCTTCCTCAGTTTTTCTTGCACATTTGAATCCTTTGCCTGTTCAGTAGAAAGGGGTGGGCAGAGAAGAGAGGACACACAAGGAGCATGTGATTGATTGCTCACCAAACAAAACAGAGCAGATAGGTCTAATTTTAGACTTCTTCAGCTTTGGCAAACTTTCTCAAAACACTTACACAGTTTTTTTTTAAGAGCAAATGAATCATATTAGTGTAGTACTAAATTATAACGTTAATGAGGAACAGACGCTGAGTCATGTTGCATGTATCATTCAAATTTTATGTGAAATTCTGAGCGGTAAGCTTGTATGATTGTAGCCTTCTGCACTTTAAGTTCCAGACTGTTCTAGCTTTCTTGACACTTCCTGTCTGTGACAGTAATGTGCCGGCACCTACTTAGAGCTGGGAATGCTGCTGCTAATAGCTGTGTGTCCAGCCCATCTATGGGCAAGGAACAGTACTGCCTTTTTGCCTGTGTACCTGCATGTTTGCCTTGCTCTGGAATTTAGGAAATCAGGTGGTGAGTCTAGTAATTAATGTGTAAGATCATCAGGGAGGAAAGGCAGGCATTGTGTGCAACTTGAGTTTTGATCAATAGTTACTGTACAGATATTGTTGAAGAATCCACTCTTGTGCCAAAGTACTTTTGAAAAATAACTTAATTTAGAAATGAGATGTGACAAATATCCTAGTATTTGTTTGTAAAAGGCAACTGATTCCTTTTGAGTCATGATGAAAACCTACTTACATTTTTTAAAGAAACACATTATTTCACGTTCTTCTTTTTGCAAATACCCTCAGTGCACTGGCTATGCCATGCTGATTGGAGAGGACCTCTGACCCTGGCTCCATCACAAGTACAGCAACTTTATGTATACTTTAGGTGAGAAAGTTTGTGCTGCTGGTCTTGATAAACTACATGGGGTTACATCCTAAATCTAGCAACATCGGCTCAGGTTTATTGCCACTGTCAGCTTTTCTTACAGCTGTCTTATTAGTTGAAGTTCGTTCTCTGAAACTTCAGGATTCAGAGCAAGATAGCATCTTACACCTGAAATTATATGTTTTCTCTGTTAAAGAAAGCTGAGGTAGTCATTGAAAGCAGTTCACATTTGATGTGTATATGGTGGCCTGAAACAAAAGAGCTGGCGGTCACAATAGTGTTCCCACTGTGGATATCAGGATGGAAAAAAAACTAAAACTTTATTAGTAACTGGTCTCTCTGTTGGCAATGTCTGCAGAAGGATCAATGTTTGAATGAGCCGTAAAGGCTGAATTCCTCTATCACCTTTTGGGGGAAAGGGGATTCCCCTTGGAACGGAACTTGGGCAAACTACAGTGATCATATGTGTATGAATATGCACAGCTCTGGAAAACCGTATCTGCTAGTTGCTATACAACAATCGTCAAGTGGCTATTTTAATTGTTTTATTTATCTTCTTAGGATGATAGAGTAAACTGTGAACCACCAGAGGAAGGTATAAAAAAATTCCATTTACATAACAATCCATTTTAAATTAGGAAACAAAACTGCACTCTGTTAAATATTATATAGATATGAACACTCAGTCCATGTCTACTCAGAAGCACCACACTTTCCTTTTACTTTACTTTTCCAGGCTAGCCCATTTAGTAATTCCACTGCTTTTCTTCTGCAGGGTTCAATTTCTTCCAGAAAAACTATCAACATATCTGTTTTATGTAACTCTGTAAGATGTTTTCTCTCACTGGTTCTTTTTTAATTTTCTAATTCTTTGGGATTAGTTCAATACTGAGAAAGTGCTATTATTTTAAAATGTTTTTGCTGTTTGACTTGTCTCATTTCCTATTTTGCCAGCTCTACACAGTCATATCTTCTTAGTGCCAGAGTCTGTTGCATTAATGCAGGGGTCCGCAACCTTTCAGAAGTGGTGTGCCGAGTCTTCATTTATTCACTCTAACTTAAGGTTTTGCATGCCAGTAATACATTTTAATGTTTTTAGAAGGTCTCTTTCTATAAGTTAATAATATACAACTAAACTATTGTTGTATGTAAAGTAAATAAGGTTTTTAAAATGTTTAAGAAGCTTCATTTAAAATTAAATTAAAATGCAGAGCCCCCTGGACCGATGGCCAGGACCTGGGCAGTGTGAGTACCACTGAAAATCAGCTCGCATGCTGCCTTTGGCACACCTGCCATAGGTTGCCTACCCCTGCATTAATGCCCCGCTATCAGTTACCATCATTCTATATATTACCGCTATTCCTCCTTTGGACTGATTAACAATTCCTGTGTAAAGGAGACATGGCTTTCTGTCTTTTTCATTAAATGTATTAAAGACCTCGATCTAAGATGTTAAAAATATGTAAAACATAGCAAAAACACAAATGTCCATAATATTTGATTCCGTTTTCTGCCCAAACCACTTTGCAATATGGTCCACTTAATAGCATATCCTAGATGAGCCCACCACCCTTAATGAACAACCTCAAATGCCTCCATCAAAATCCTCTAGACAGTTTTTCTGCTTTGCTTATTAACTGTCCATTTCCTTCTTTCGGTCTCTTTACTTCAACCTTATTCCACCTGCCCCCCCAATGCTCCCTTTCTTCCCTTCACTTATCCCTGCCCCCTTCGGTGCCCTCTCTCCTTTCCTTTGTGTCTCTCTCTGATTCCTTCCCAATAATCCCCTCTGCCCCACCCCCCAAAAAATATTGTGGCGCTAGCGTGACACTTGTGGAACATCATATTGTTCACTCTGCTGGTTTGTTATATCTCTCTCCTCTCCATGCTTTATCTTTTCTATTAAATTGTAAACTGTTCAGGACAGAGACTGTCTTAGCCTTTGTTTGTGTAGTGCCTAGCATAATGTGGCCCTGATATCCATTAGGATTCCTATCTGAGCAGGGTTTTATTATTATTTGTATCTTAAATTGCAGTGCCTAGTATTTGTAGGAACTTAACTTTCCTTCCTTTAAATTATTTTCTAAGCTTTTGCTGCATTTCAATTAATGTAATAATAAGTTAGTATACTGTTTGTTTAAAGGCATCCTAATTACTTTTGTATCCTATAAGCAATATATTTAATGCTATACATTATATAGGACCCTTTTATCCAGAAAGATCCCAAGATGCTTTAGATTTAGTATGAATAGGGATCACTTAACTCGCCAGAGTGGAATGCAACAGCCATTGTATGACAGCTGAATTTTCTTAGTAAAGAAAAAACAAATTTAATACACATGGGAGGATTTAAAAAGACAATGTAAATATGAGTTGGAATTTAGCCAGGACTTTAGGGTTAACATCTTAACTTGTGCAAAAAATGCACAGGCCTTCAATGACTAAAAGTGATCAGGGTCTTGAGCTTGAGATTGCCTTTCCAGCTGACAGTTTCACAGCCCCATAGAGCTTAGACCCCAGCCACCGAGTTGGAGGAAAGAGCATCCCATACTAAAGCACCCATATCACTTCTGCCATCACTTGGATTTTTGCTTTGGCTGCAAATGGTGGTCTCCTATGCAAATATTGACCAGGCCTAATACTGCTTACATATAAAGAAAAGGAGTACTTGTGGCACCTTAGAGACTAACCAATTTATTTGAGCATGAGCTTTCGTGAGCCACAGCTCACTTCATCAGATACCTGACAAAATCCCAGCCCCAGATGGCATGGATGCAGGACTAGGTAGTGGTATTTATAAAATTATGAAGCTTATGTACATATGCTCTCTCAAACAGGGTGGGAAAATCAGTAATTTAAAAAAAATTATTTAAATCAGATTTATTAAATTGAATACTTTTTTTAAAAAAATATTTGAAATTGCATTGAAATTGACAATCTGTGTTAAATCTAAATTTACTAAAATCTATTAATTGGTTACATTAAATTAAAAAAAAAAGTTCAGGCAATACACGTTTGTTGCCAAAGTTTTAAAGAAAATCAAACCACTGATCTAGAGGAAATCACTGGCTAAGCATCTGGAACCAGATTTTAAGTGCTAAGCCAGCTTTTCATAGCAGTAGCCTCTTTTGCAGGTGCAGAGGGTATATTTTATTTTCAGTTTATTCATCCCGTTCAGTTCAGTTGCTAGCTCTTTCCAAGTTGAGAAGCCGACTGTGACTGAAAAGTCAGAAAAGCTTCTTTTCCTTTTTCAGTTTGATTAAAAATGAGGTATGAGATGATGAGATCTGCTAGATCTAAATTTCTGAAGGACATGGACCCAGATCCACAAAAGTGACCAGAAACAATCCGATCAATTCATTAACTACAGATACTTTGTTTCATCATTTTTAAGTGCCAGACAAGTTTTGATACTTAATTTTTTCTCATATATCCAGCACATTTAAGCTAGTTTTATTTATCTATCCATTTTAAAATGTTCTTGTGCATTTCAAATTTCATGTCCTTTTTGCATCCAAATCGAGCTTTACACAAATCACAAGTAAAAAAAATCATCTGGTAAATAAGAAATGTATCATTCATCATTTAACATAATACAAAATGCAAACATTAATTGGAATAAATGTTTTAAACTATATAATTGCTTACACTACATGTACACGCTTATTTACCCCCCGGTTAGAAGAAAGTACAAAATTTAGTGTGAGGATTATATCTAGTTGCACACCCACGTGTTTATTTCTTACCAAGCAATTAATCAACTTTTTGTCCGGAATATAACTAAAAAGTACAAATGCAAAACAAGATTAAAATCAATTATTTAAAGCTTTGATTTAAATCAATACACCCTGCTCTGTCAATATACAGTCCAAATCCAGTTCAGTCTTATTCTTATGAACTTTAAATCTGGATTCTCTTTCTAAAATATCTATTATGAGACTGAAGTGTAGAAAATACTGAGCAGTTGTTTGATAGCACGTTATGTAATTCATCTTGCTAAAGCTCCACATTTGAGGAATGTAGGTAGGAATGTTTAAAGGCTGTTCATCTCATCCTGTTTCCCTGGTTTGAGGACAGTTTCCGTTTGATGAACCTTTTATTGCCCCCCCCTTCTTTAAATTGTTCCTAAGGTTGTTCCATAGTTACTATAGTCCTGCTTAGATCCAGAAAAGAGTAAACTAACTAACTGTTTCATATTCTCTGTGTGTATATAAAGTCTGCTGCAGTTTCCACGGTAAACATCTGATGAAGTGAGCTGTAGCTCACGAAAGCTCATGCTCAAATAAATTGGTTAGTCTCTAAGGTGCCACAAGTACTCCTTTTCTTTAAACTAACTAAGCTATTTTATAATTATATTTATATTTTAAGACATTATTTCATAGACTAGATTGTTAATTAGTCTGTGTAGTATTTAGAATTCTTGCAGAGAGGGACTTCATTTGTGGAGACATTTTGCCACATGGCTGTAATTATTTGTTAATGTCCTAAGATAGATTCCCATTTGCGGTATGTTGTGGATGTTGAAGCCAGAACAAGGAGTTGTTGCTGTGCCACCCCAAGGCGTCTAGCGTGGGCTTTTGTCCCTTTGATCCCATGAAGACCATACATTGCATTTTGTGAAAGATACTAAATCTCTGTGGGTTGTGTTAGTTCTTGCATGTGCACAGCAGTCCTTGTAGATGAGTATCTGGTGTGAAGGGAGCTATTCACTTCCCTGACTACAGTGGGTGTTTGGAGTGCACAAAGAATGCAGCATCAGGCATTTAAAGGTTTAATTTTATTACAGTTCTGTGAAAATACTTGTCCTGCAGAATGAATCTAGCAAGGAATTTTAATAGCATACATTTGCAGTGCAGATAGTAGAATGCATACAGAACTCCTTATTTTATTTCCTAAGAATATATTATTATCCCATTTGTAAACCTGCAACTGAGCACTCAAAAAACTCTTACTAGATTGTCAGAGATCCCCAAATGAGGAAAAGAGGGATTTCCCAAAAGAGGGAAAATGGAAGGTTTGAATGGGGAAAATAAGAAAACAAATGTATTTGCCAGTGAGTAAGGCTGTGTGTCTGTCACCGATTCTGTGACTTCCATGACTTCTGCAGAGGCCAGTGCAGCTGGCTCCGGGGCTGTCCGAGCAGCTCAGGCAGCCCCTGGGCCAGCCACGCTGGCCGCTACTGGGGCAATCTTGGGCCACCACGCCTTCCCAGCAGGAGCAGTAGTTTGGGTGTGGGAGGGGGTTCAGGGCTGGGGCAGAGGGTTGCAGGGCAGGGTGGCGCTTACCTCAGGAGGGCTCTCTGGAAGCGCTGGCATGTCCCCACAGCTCCCATTGGCTGTGGAGCAGGTGCTCGTGGCGGGGGCAGTGCGTGGAGCCCCCCGGCCTTCCCTCCATGCCGGCTGCTTCTGGGGAGCTGTGCGGAGCCTGGGGGGGTCTGCCAGCCCCGTCAACCCTCACCCCCCCCCCCCAACCTGCACCACCCCCACAACTCTGGGTTGCATGCCACCCCCACAGCACCTCCCAGGGCTACCCCCCTAATCTTTAGTTAGGGGTGTATAGTACAAGTCATGGACTGTGAATTTTTGTTTACTGCCTGTGACTTGTCTGACTTTTAATAAATATACCCATGACTAAAACGTAGCCTTACCGATGAGTAATATACTTTGATTGCTCAAGCTTGACTTTCTGTATTTTATTATTAAATGTTTGTCAAGTAATGGGATTGCCATTATTGTAGGCAATAGCACGCTTCATTGATTCTGTTAAAATGTTTATTGCTTGTATGACTTGTACCAGAGTACTTATAAAAGCAACTGAAACAGTATGTGCTGACCTGTAGTTACATAGCTTTATTGTTACAGTTCAGTGAGAAACTGTATCTTGTAATTGAGTTTGTCTTTGCAACTTGTCCATTTTGTGAAGTAAAGTAAAATATTCAATTTTGTAGACTGCAGTGTTTTGCAAGTACAGATTGCAGGTGCTCTCTCTAAATGGAATAAGAAATTCCCCCACTTTTTTCTTCTGTAACATTCCATTTGTTTTCAGTGCCCATTTAAATAACTGTTACTTACTGTAATGTTTATTTCTTCCTTTACTAAATTCTGACAATAACAACCAGTCCCCAAAAGTGTCTTTAGATAGTGGGTTGGGTTGAATTGGAATTCCTCAGAAGTTCTTGTCAACTGCTGGAAATGGCCCACCTTGATTATCACTATAAAAGGTCGTCGTGTTGTCGTGTCCACCCCACCCCGCTTTCCTGCTGGTAATAGCTCGCCTTACCTGATCACTCTCATTACAGTGTGTATGGTAACACCCATTGTTTCATGTTCTCTGTGTATATAAATCTCCCCACTGTATTTTCCACTGAATGCATCTGTTGAAGAGAGCTGTAGCTCACAAAAGCTTATGTTCAAATAAATTTGTTAGTCTCTAAGGTGCCACAAGTCCTCCTTTTCTTTTTAAAGAAATTAGTTACATTTGAGCAAAACTTTTATTTGAAACCAAGAAAGGCTACTAGAAGTGATAAATTCATGTGCTGTGCGTTTATCCTGCTAACCTTTCTTCTTCCCCAGCAAAGTTTGTAGTGTAGAAAATTGAGACCATGTGTGTGGATAAACTGAAAACTACGCGCCAGACCTGTTTTCAAACAATCTTGGACATCCTCAATATTTTTTTTAAAAAAAGGTCACAACGGGTCTTTTCACCTGCCTTGATTTTCAAGTGTGAGGCTCTGCTAGGTGCATCTGTGACTGCAAAGCAATTCTCCAGAAGCAACCCCCTCACCACAGAGGAAAGCTTGCCGAATCCCTGTGGTTTCTACAGAACCCTGTATAAACTGAGTCTCCCTGCTGGGATGGAATCCATTTGGGAGGCCCCTTCCCCCTATTGATGGGAATTTCTAAACTAGAGCAGCTGTCCCTGACATGAGTGTGTGGGGGAGGGGGTGTACTAACCTGTGGGCTCTGCCCTTGATTGCCGCCTAGGCCCATTGGGCTTCTAGGAGTTAAAGGGGTGGATGACCAGGGGGTGGGGGCAGGAGCCACGTGTGGTGTGGGCTGGGTCTGATCCTTAGCGGGGCTGTGAGTGCCTGAGAAGCCTCATGCTAACCTGCTGTGTGTTGCCTCCTCCACAGGCATATTATGGAACCAAGCCCGGCAGGAGGAGGTGGGGGTCCAGGCGAACCAGCGCACGCAGTGGCACTGCTGCGGGGTCTGAGTGCCCTGCGCTCTGAGCGGAGCCTGCTTGATGTGACAGTGGTGGCCGGCGGCTGTGAGTTTGGGGCACATAGAGCTGTGCTAGCTGCAGCTTCTGGCTACTTCCGTGCCATGTTCGGCGGGTCACTGCGGGAGTCCCGGGCCGAGCGGGTGCGGCTACATGGGGTGGACCCTGAGTGCCTGGCACTGCTGCTCGACTTTGCCTACACTGGTCGGGTGGGGCAGCTGGGCCCCGACATCGCGGAGCGGCTGCTGCGCGCCGCCGACCTACTACAGTTCCCGGCCGTGAAGGAGGCGTGTGGCACTTGGCTGGCCCGGCAGCTGGAGCCGGCCAACGCGCTGGACATGCAGGACTTCGCAGAGGCCTTTGCTTGCCCAGCCCTCGCGGCTGCCGCTCACCGGTTTGTGCTGCGCCATGTGGGTGAGCTGAGCACGCAGTTGGAGCGGCTGCCGCTGGCGCGGCTCATCTCCTACTTGCAGGACGATGAGCTGTGTGTGCCCAAGGAGGAGGCCGCCTTCCAGCTGGCACTGCGTTGGGTGCGTGCTGACCTAGCTGCCCGTGCCCCGCTGCTGCCGCAGCTCCTGGCCCACGTGCGCTTGCCCTTCGTGCGCCGTTTCTACCTGCTGGCACATGTGGAGGGCGAGCCCCTGGTGGCGCGTTGTCAGCCCTGTCTGCGCCTCCTGCGGGAGGCCCGCGACTTCCAGGCTGCTCGCTATGACCGGCACGACCAGGGGCCATGTGCTCGCATGCGGCCACGACCCTCTACCGGCCTGGCAGAGATCCTTGTGCTCATTGGTGGCTGCGACCGTGATTGTGATGAGCTGGTCACCGTTGATTGTTACAACCCACGAACGGGGCACTGGCGCTACCTGGCTGAGTTTCCCGAGCACTTGGGTGGTGGCTACAGCATAGCGGCGCTGGGCAATGACATCTACGTGACAGGTAAGGATGGGCACGTTGGATCTGATGCCCTGAGCAGTGTTGTCTGGGGAAAGGGCCACAGCTGGGCATTATTCTGGAGGGAGCCCAAGTCTGTCAAGGGATGGGGGGACGGCTTTAGGTTTAAAGATCAAGGGGCATCGGCAAAGCTGTAGAAGAGGCCAGAAATGAGATCCCTGACTTTTCAAAGCACTAGTATTTTTATAAAAAGTTCCCTCTTTTCTTTGCCATTAGTCCCAGGATGGGCTAAGCATGGCTTGTTTTGGGTTCGCAGAGTAATGATTCTTTGAAATGAGATCTGCCTTCATAATTAGGGTGTCTCTTGCAAAGACTCAGAAACCATTCTGTTCTGCTAAATGCCAGGGGAAATGATTCCTTGGCTTCTGTGAAAATGTTGAACGAGTGTGTTGCATACGTTGTAAGCAGACACGCATTCCAACAGCCCGTTTCAAAGGGACTTTGGCTTCTCCACAGTGCAGTAACACTTTGTTCTGTGTGGAGGCTTGTGTACAAGTCTGTGTAAAGGTATTTGTATACACTTCTATTGTGACAGACTTCAGGGCTCTGTGGTTGGTTCTAAGTACAGGCTAGTGCAGCGTGTTGGTAAACCTGAAATGGTTTTGTTGTTCTGCTTGGGGTTATAAGCTACTTTATGGGTCAGATTTGTTCTAATTTTGTGCTAATAGGCTTGGAACTCAGAGGTGAACAGGAAAATAAATATGTATGCAACTTTATATATTACTTGAGTGTTTGCTGAAGGAACCTCCTGAACACTTTATTTTTAATGTGTGGGGTCCATCATCCAGGAGACTCTTCCACTTTGTGCTTACATTAATGTTTAAATGTGTAATGAAAATATTTAGGTTTCCTACAGTGGTTCTTGGTTTTTCACAAATGGACCATGTCTAAAGTTCTATTCAGATGTTTGGCATAAATGCGAGTTTTCATTTTGCAACAGGGATTCCTTTTCTGTAGTTATTCTTGTTTTGGGATGGATTTAGTAGCTGATCTCAGACAGGCAGCTGATTCATAATGACTAATACTAGTGAGTATGTAGACAGCATTTCAGGACACATGTTGGTGTAACTTCCCAAGACAACAGGGTAGGAGTCTGATTTCAGATCATTTTCAAATTCCTGCTGTGTTGAGAACACTTAAGAAAAGCAGAACTTAGAGAAAAGTAAATAACAGGGTGCAACACAAAGTATACCATGTATGCTTGTCACAGAGTCACCAGGTGATGCTCTGGAACAGAAGGTTTATTAGGTGACGGGAACACAGCGTAGAACAGAATTTGTTAGCACAGAAATCAGTGACTTTCAGCCAAGTCCGTCTTGGGAAGTCCTGGGCCAGAAGCCCTGGACTCCCCCTCTTCCGGTCCACCCAAGCAGACTGCCAGCATCCCCGTTGCTCCTCCTCCTTGTCTTTGTCTCACTTCCTGGGCAGAGTGTCATTTGGTTGCATCCCCCTCCTGGGTCTCCGGTTACGAAGGGCACTGGTCATAGCATATGTTCAGGCAGCTAGAGCAGCCTCACCTGCCCCTAAGGTCTCAGCCAAAGTCACACACCCCTATTCCTATCACTGAGGTATTGGTGCAGCACACAGGGAAACTGAAGCATTCTCAATATTCATGCAAAACAGTAAAACTCACATAGGCTAAATAGTAAGACTCGCATACAACACAACAAGGGAAAATCCTTACTTCGTCACAGCGCTCAAGGTAGAAACATACCAGAAAGTCCTCTGATACTCTGGACTTCAATGACTCTCAGTGTCATTTAACCTTGGCACAGCAGTGCGTTTATGGTATTGAAGGGCAAAAGTTGTGTTTCTTTCTCTAGTGTACTCCCTGGCTCTTGTCAGTTTGTCAAGTTTAACTATACTAGTTTGCCACTTTAACTATACCAGTATAAAGCAGCGACCTCCCATCTCACCCTCACTCCCAGTGTGGGTGCAGTTATACCAGTGTAAGGGGACCCAAACAGAAATAAGCTATACTGTATGATGTACCTTTTTACCAGTATAACCATGTCAACAAAATTCACACCTTGAACAGACATAGTTATACCGATAAAGGTTGTATGTAGACCCGGCCTAAGTGAACAGAAAGCTGTTCAATCTCTGACTTAACAAAAAGCATGCCTGTGATTTAAGTAATGTCATAAACATGATGATGTGCTAAAATGGAATACTTTTGTATTATTTCTGCATCCAAAGAAAGTCACATATGGTAGTATTCAAAAACAATGCAAGGTTGACTGACCTGGAATTCTGAATGCCAAGCATTTTGTCACACACCTTGTGATTGCTGACTTCTTCCAAGAGTCTTGTACTTGCATACAGGGTCTGTTGTCATTGAAGATGCATGGATAACTGTTTTGTATTTCGCATTACAGTTGTAGCTCAGAGGAAAAGAGATGTAAAGGAAAAGCTTAGAAGCAGATTTTTGTATGAGGCAGTAGTGAAGTGGGGTCAGGTGTCTAAGGTTGTTCTTTAGTTTATGGAGCTTGCATGCTAGATTTGCTCCACTGATATCGTTGTCAACTATTATAGAAGTGTTAGTTGGACTCTTATCAGTACTTGCTGGCTAATTAATCATTGTTGAAAGTTGCTCTGTATTGGGTCACCAGCTCCAAGCCCTCTCATCAGGGATATGGTGAGGGTTGTAAATAGGGAAGGGAGAAAATGGTTAGGAAGTTAGCCAAATCTGGGATACGTGTTTTGAGTTGATAATACATCAGATTTCGTCTGAGCATCACATGAGGGAATCTACTCTGAGATTCTGGGAGTAAATGGGAGACAAAGTTACAGGCCCATTTTCGAAATTTCCAAACAAATTTGAGATTGAGTGGTACCATTAGCCTTAAAATTGTTGTGAAACAAACTGCCATTTTTCTCCTGTACCTGAATATTTTAATAATAAGTAGGCTGGGGAAGTAGCAAAATTTGTTATAGTATTGGAAAGTAATAACATTTTTGAATACCTAATAAAGGACTGAGTTATTACATAAAACCCCTAGTCTGTCTTCCTCTCCACCCCCTCCCCCCCCTCCCCCCCCACAATGGGCTATATTGCAAAATATTTACTTATGAAATGTGCTCTCTTCTGTAGGAGGATCAGATGGGTCAAGGCTCTATGACTGTGTCTGGAGATACAACTCCAGTGTGAATGAGTGGACAGAAGTTTCTCCAATGTTGAAAGCAAGAGAATACCACAGCTCTACAGTCTTGGATGGACTGTTGTATATTATAGCCTCAGACAGCACAGAACGTTATGACCACTCCATAGACGCCTGGGAGGCTTTGCAGCCTATGTTGTACCCAATGGACAACTGTTCTACCACATCTTGTCGTGGTAAACTCTTTGCTATTGGCTCTCTAGCAGGCAAAGAATCCATGGTTATACAATGCTATGACCCTGAAACTGACCTCTGGTCCCTCGTGAACTGTGGACAGCTGCCTCCGTGGTCTTTTGCACCAAAAACTGTGACTCTTAATGGACTTATATACTTTATAAGGTAAGTAATAATGTATCCCCCACCCCATCCCACTATAGAATGATTTTTTTTTTGAGAAATAGTGTAGAAGGATTGGATTTAAATCCACAATTTGGGAAACGGAGGCAATTTTACAAATCTGGACTGAGGAGAAATCTACTTTAAAGTAGAATCCTTGAGTTCTATTGGCTTTAATTCAGTTCTACTATTACTTTAAATACACACACACACACACATGAATAAGCTCCAAGAAAATATTAAATTGTACAGCGGATAGCACATGTGTAATGATAAGAGAACATGAGATGAAATGGTTTGTTTTTTTTAAACCAGGATTTACCATTATGTGTTGAGTTCTCATGGTTCAAATACTTATCCACTTAAAAAATAAACTGAAAGGCTTTCCATCACTGAAACACTTCATCTAGTGGAGTGTATTGTCTTTGTGCGTGAGCAAATGTACATTAAAAATAGTCCCCAGAAATTTTGTTTTATTACCTTTGGGTTTCCTTAAAGCAGTAAGTTGTATCCAAGATCTTTATTTGCTGCATTTGGATTTGTTCGTGCTCAGTCCAACATCTTGGCTTCCAGCAGCTGTTTGACGTTATTCCTCTCCCTCTTTCAGTATTCAACTAATATTGAAAAGGTTCTTTCATCAGAATATCCATCCTGTACGCTTCCAGAGCCAGCTTTACTTGCTGTTTTCAGCAGACTGGTAGGTCAAGGTTTAGAATTTCTAACAGTTGAGTAGTTGGCCCATACACACCTCTATCGGGGGGTACTGCAGCAGTAGGAAGTCATTGGTGATTCATTGGGTAAGTAGCTGAGAAAATTACCTGACACAGCAAAGGGAAAATTCTTCCTCTTCTTCACCCCCTCCTCGCTTCCCCCAAAAAAATGCTGCAAAAGGGATATTTTTCTGATAATTTATAAGGACAGTCTCAAAACAATAGGTCATATACATGGGATCAAAGGGTGACTTACTAACCAAAGCTGCTAACTTTCAGTTTAGGTGGGTTTTTTCTTCAAGTGAGAATAAAATCTCTCTCTCTTCTTTACAACCAACCCTAGTTACAGTAATAAATATGGCATCACAGCAAAACTAGTCTCTTGGGTTACTTCTGTATTAGAAACAACCTTGAAATGGGAATGCCTTGTTCTTATGCGGACGAGCATGTGGAATCGTTCTTGCTCCTGTTTTCCCTCCCAGCCTGCAAACAGTATGTTTTCACTTTCATTCTTGGAAGTATTTGCCTCATGCAGCACTGTTAGTGACAACAAACATTGTAAACTGTGGTAACTCTTCTCTGCTGTAACTTGACAGCAACTTTAGGATTTTTAAAGCAGTATCACTAAAAGGGTTGTCTTCGCTCTTCACTTGAATTCCTGAAACTCCTATTAATGCTCTGTTTGAGGTAGACAACAGGTGGAAGAAGAGATCTCTGTGTATTTAAGATGTTTAGAATCTTCAGGTTCATAGAATTGAATTAAACCAGTGTGATTTTTAAATGCTTGACTCCCATGGACCATCTTTCCTCTGCATAGACACCTCTGCTCCGAGATTGTTTCCGAAAGTAGTTCAAACTAAGGAAACTGGTTATGAAGCATGTACCTTGGGAGCCATAAGGAAACTTATTCATTGTTTTTTTTAAATCACAGTGGATAAAAATTGATTTGAAAATATTTAAAAATCAGATTTTTTTAATTTTAAATCTGAGGGGGTTTTTTGTTTAAATTAAATACAGGCTTATTTTTAAAAAATAAACTTTGAAATTGACAACCTATGTTAAGGTCTAAACTTACAATAATATATTAAAACTGTATTAAATTAAAATAATAAGCAGCACATGTTTGCTGCTGAAGTTTTACAGAAAATTAAACCACTGAACTGGTGAAAGTCACTGGCTAAGCACCTATAACCAGAGTTTGTTGACATGCTTAATCAGCTTTTGACAGTAGTAGGATCTTCTGCAGATACACAAAGAATATTTTTTTGTTTCAGTATATTCAGATCAGTTCTATAACTAGTTCAGTCAAAGTTAAGGGAAAAAATGTACACTGGAAAAAGGAGAAAAGCTTGCTTTCTTCTTCCAATCTATACATAAAAACTGGTTGTGAGAGGTTGAGATAAACTAGTTCCAAACTCTTGAAGGACAATGAGGACCAGAAATAATCAGTTCAATTCACTAACTACAGATAACACTTTGTTTTCATAAATCAGTAAATGCAGAACATGTTTTGATGTACTTTTTTTTCTTATGTATCTGCACATTTAAGGTAATTTTACTTAACTAATACAAAAATTAAAGTGCTGATTTTTGTGCACTTCTTTATTGAATCAGAATTTCCAAATTGAGCTTGACACTAACTCACAAGTAAAAAATGATCTAACATAATAAAAAAGTAAAATTTAAGAGTCTGAATAAATGTAAGTTAAGCTTTATATTTAGTTAAAGTGTATCAATATAGTGTATCCTCCTGGTTAACAAAAAGAAGCACCAAATTTAGTGTAAAGGTTATATTCAGTTGCAAATCCAATGTTTTAATCATTAACAACCAGTGAGAATCAACTTTCTTTAAGAAAATAACTAAAGTACAAATGCAAAACAAGATTAAAATCCTTGATTTAAATCAAGGTTTCCTGATTGGTGATTAAAATCAAGTATTTAAATTACATTGATTTAAATAAATCCATCCTGTTTTTAACTAATTATAACTATAGTTCAGAAACCTGGATTTTGCTGTATACTAAGCAGACCCTTTCATAAGCCTGATGGCTTCTAAATGAATAGCCAGCAGGAGAGGTGGTGCTCTGGGATGTCTGCAAAGACTCTTATTTATTTCACTTTCCTCTTATTTCGAGACACTCTGTTGCTATCGCTTTGATTGGAATAAGCAGATGATTTTGTTTTCTCTGTCATCACTAGAGTGCTTGTCGTAGATTGCAAAGGACATGGTAGTTCTTGGAAAGTCAGTAACAATGTCTGAAAAATACAATACTCAGTTTTAATTGTCTTGGACTCACTTTTCTTCTCTCATTCAAATTTTTAACTTTAATCAAAGGACTTTATAGCCAGAGATTGAATTATCCAATAAAAGATGTCTATACCAATTGAAATGGATTCTAATACAGTACATAGTTTTTACTTTAAATTCAATTAACTTAGTTCTTGAGACTGATTCAGTTAAAATGGAAGCTCAAATTAATTAGTGGTTGAACTAAGTAGAAGATTCTTTTGTATTCTTAGGTAGTCTTCTAACTTCATTCTTGATAGTACTTTCTTGGATTTACTTTAAGTACTGCTATGACTACCCTGACCTTGTAATCTCCACATTCGTATGCCAGCAAATTGCATTTCTGTGTCACAATAATCCCTCACCTGTTGCTGTCACACTCCTGTCTCATGAGTGGAATGGGTAAGAGAAGCCTTATGGGATTATAGTGCTGCTGTTAGTTCTTCCATTACAGACCTCTCTCCACCCTTTATTGACACCCCACCCCGGTTTAAATTTGGCATTGGCTGAAGTCTCAATCCAACATGGATCCTTTTAGTGTTAATGTTAGGTGGGGAGAGGTTTAAGTCACCCCAAAATGTCAGTTATTTTTCTAAGATGTTCTTGTGCACTCGTATCACCAAAGCCAGATTATTTTATCAGGTACAAATTTGCAGTAAATTTATCTGTAGTGGGACCCACAAGTGCAAATTTTATGTTTAGGATTGGCCAGCAGTTATCAGCATAGCACAGTGGTGCTTCTAGGTACTATTTGTAATACAAATAATTTTGCATCCTGTCTTGGGCAGGCACCAGGGCTGAATAACCATGAGGCAGTTGTAGGCAGGGGAAGGCAGAAACACCGCCTGAGTGTTCTGGGTTCATTCTGCCTCCAGTGTATGGGTCACTGCACCCAACTAGGTTGTCCAGCTGGGTAATCTTTTCAAAATCCATTCCACCAGAATTTATTTTTTTAAGTGTAGTTTTGACTTTGGAGAAGCACAGAAGTGCTATTCACATTCTTTGGACACAAGCACCAGTTCACAAGTAGTGAGGAGAATTCCTATGCATAATGATGCAGCCCACTCTAATACATAGCTCTTCAGCACCTGGGGCTATGTAGATCCATTGATTTCTGTGCTGGCCATTGATGCTGCGTTATAGGAGCCACATGTAGGAGTCTGAAGTGTGCACCATATCTCATGTCTTGGTGCAAGTGCAATTTGATCAGTGTGCACATGGGTTTGTGAATGTAACAGGGTGGAAGCAAAAGTGCTAATGTAGCACTTCAGACACTTGGTTGGACTACTTTCACCTGTGCTTGATGAAATGGGGGGAGCCTTTACAGCTCTCTGAATAGTGGTTTCCTTTTTTCTTTTATAGAGATGACTCTGCCGAAGTGGATGTTTACAATCCAATGAAGAATGAATGGGACAAAATCCCTCCTATGCTTCAGGTAGGATGTTGACAATGAGTTCATTTAAAAAACCGTTGGAAACTATAAACTTCTTTGGGTAGGGGAGTGACTTAATTTTTTAAGCACTGACACAACACAAAATAAACTCAGTGAATGCTAACAATATGTTCAGCCATGTACAGCAAAAGGTAGTCCTTGCTTCAGAGCAGTTGTAGTTTAGATAACAAATAGAGAACGATGAAGGCTTGTCTACACTGTGTATTAGTTCACACCAGAAGGGTATCAGAGTAGCAGCCGTGTTAGGCTGTATTCGCAAAAAGAAAAGGAGTACTTGTGGCTGTAGCTCACGAAAGCTTATGCTCAGATAAATTGGTTACTCTCTAAGGTGCCACTAGAAGGGTATAAATTCCAGTGCACACTAGGGTGTCACGCACTAACTGGCCTGCACTAAAAGTTTAGTGTGCAGTAATGTAGTATACGATACTACGTTAATGCACCTGGGAACTTTTAGTGTACGCTAGCAGGGTCCACGTGGGCCAGTTCCTCTCCATTGTGGACTAATGCACAGTGTAGACAAGCCATAAGTGCCCAAACCATCATGTGGTGCAGCTGCATAGGTTAGCAGAGATCTTTGTTTGTATCTTGTTGTTTTGTGGTTCTTGGATTAAAGCTCCTTTAGTTGGAGTTAATGCTGCTGACCATTTGGCTGGGACTTGTCAGTTCTGTTACAATTGTGTTGGCAGCGTATTACAAGCAAAATTCAATAAGGTGATAGGAAAATCTGTTGGAGACGGTATGGTGTCTGTTGTGTCACCTGCTGGGGCCTGTGAGCACTATACCTGTTTCAGAGCCGCAATTGCCAGCAATAGCAGAGGACCCACAAATTTGGGACGATCTGCTAGGCTAGATATCAGCGTACCTACCTAAATGGGCATAATCATATAAATATAGGATTGGAAGGGCCCTCGATAGGTCATCTAGTCCAATGCTCTGCACAGAGGCAGGACTAAGTATTATCTAGACTATCCCTGACAGGAGTTTGTAAAACCTGTTCTTAAAAACCTCTAGTGATGGAGATTCCACAAGCTCCCTAGCTAATTTGTTCCAGTGCTTAACCACCCTGACAGTTAGGAATTTTTTTGTAATGTCCAACCAAAACCTGCCTTGCTGCAATTTAAACCCATTACTTCATGTCCTGTCCTCATTGGTTAAGGAGAACAATTCCCTGGGTTGTCCTTATTCCCCTTTTTATTGATAGGCACTATGTTTGCACTTCTGCAGTCCTCTAGGATCTCTTCCATCCTCCATGAGTTCTCAAAGATAATTGCTAATGGTTCAGAGATCTCTTAAATATTATAGGATGTATTTCATCAAGCCCTGCTGACTTCAAGACATATAACTTGTCTAAGTAATTCTTCACTTGTTCTTTTCCTATTTTAGCCTCAGATCCTACCCCATTTACACTGATATTCACTATGTTGGTTTTCCAATCATTGATAACTTTTTTGGTAAAAACTGAAACAAAAAAGGTATTTAACACTTCAGTCATTACTGTGTTATCTGTTATTGTCTTTCCCTCCTCATTGAGTAATGGAGCTACCCTATTCTTGATCTTCCTCTTGCATCTAATGTATTTTTAAAAGGTTTTCTTGTTACACTTTAAGTCCCTAGCTAGTTTTATCTTGTTTTATGCCTTGGCTTTTCTGGTTTTGTCCCTACATGCTTCTGTTGTTTTTTGGTATAGTCCTCCTTCGTAATTCGACCTACATTCTACTTTTTGTATGACTCTTTTTTGAGTTTCAGGTCTTTGAAGATCTCCTTGTTAAGCCAGGGTGGTCCTCTCTAATAACATGTTTTTAATTCTAGGTTCACGTTGGAGGGAGCTTGGCTGTGCTTGGTGGGAAGCTCTATGTCTCTGGTGGCTACGATAACACATTTGAACTTTCGGATGTGCTGGAAGCTTATGATCCAGAAACTCGAACGTGGAGCATAGTGGGACGGCTGCCTGAACCTACCTTCTGGCATGGAAGTGTCAGCATATTCCGACAGTTCATGCCACAAACTACACAAGATGACGACAGTATTGCTCTGGATAATGCCATTAACCTAAACAGGCAGCGCCAGAATCTGCATAATCAGAATCTTAATGAGTTACGTTAACAGTAGAAAAACTTATCTCTATGGTTTGAAGTGAATTCATTACAATTAACCAGTGTCAATTTGGGGGAGGGCAGGAGGCAAACTGGTGCTTGGAAACTCTGAAATGGATTGATCAGTAATTGCAAGCAGGAGGAAATAAAAACCCCGAAAGATTAAAATGTTGTTGTAGGAAGCATAGTTGGCAGAAAGTTACAGGCCCCTTTGGGTGCATTGTCCCTCAGCACTTTTCTGTGGATGGAGAAGGTGCAGCATTAATCACAGAAAAGCTCTGATATGAGAACTCTGGAAAAAAGATATTTTTAAAGAATCACTTGTTACTCAAGCACCACTATTGCAGGCAGCGTAGTGAAGCTTTTGATCAGACAGCTGTCAATAGTACCCTGCAGTCAGCATCTTTCCACATCATAACATTTCATATTTGCCACCAAATTCCATTCTTTGTGGAGGGGTTTATGGAACATAGCAGAGAGGAAGGACCAAAGTTTGCTAATACCAGAGGCTCTCTGAAAGGGGAGAGATTGGTTTGGTAAGATATGCCTTCAGATCTAATACTCCGCTCGGTGCTCCAGAGGAAGATAGACCACTTGCCCAGGTCCTTGCCAATATGGTCTGAGGGAAAATTCCACCCACAAAGTTTGGGTTCATTATAGATGTGCAGATATGAGGATATAAATATCTAGCCCTAAATATGCCGAGAGCCACAATAAAGTTTGGTCACTCTTCATGCTTTCATGAAGAACCTATTAAATTGCTAAAAAGGTCCGTGCAAGGATATTAAGGTTGAGAGTCATGAAGTTTGAAATTTCCCTCCCCCGCTACCTTAAATGTGTGATAAATTAATTGTTAAACCCGTACAGTACTGTAAGTTTTTATACAGAATTTTCATTACTCCAAGCAGCTTGTGCTTTTATTGGTCCTTACTAGAAAAATGTTTCTTTAGAAACTTTGCATTTTAAAAATGATTCACATTCACAAACTTAGATTGAGGGAAATGTGAAATACATTTCAATTTCTTTTTTTAAGCAAATATCCATCTGAGAAGAAGAGTGGGGAGAGACTTTAGAGGCTGGGGGCTCATGTCAAAGATCTCTTGGAGAAGAACCTCCATCGACATTCAAATCTGGATAACATTTTTATTTCTATCAAATTGTTTAGTCTGCAGTTGAACTTGGCAGAGAAATCTCTGCAGTGTGGTCTTGTCTCGTGAAGTTATTTGCTATTCATTATTGATGTTCCATAAGCTCTAAAGACTTTAACTTGACTCTTTTTTATCAAGAATGGCAAAATTTGTGCTAGATTGAGCAGATAGGCCCTGGATAGTAGTTGGGGACACTGTAAAATGCAGAGGGTGTATTCTCACCATTTAGACACTAAGGAAGTAGATGAGAATGGTATTTTTAGGGGAGAACTTATTTAAAGAGAGGAAGTATAGAAGAGCTTCCTTGGGAACTGTCCCATGGATTTGAGCAAAGTAATTTATTACACAGTATTTGGTATATAGAAAAATAATTGTATGCTGCTTCAAACATTTGATAAAGTATTGTGGTTAAGCTAAGGTAAATTTACGGTTTATAATGGATCAATTTGTTGAGTGATAGCACCTACTAATGTTAATATTACACATGAGAATTGACCTTCATCAGAATAATTTAAAGCAGCTGTTGGAATTTTTGAGCAGTTGGTAAATGCTAATCAGGGCCTTTAGTTAGTTCACAGAGACTGAATTTTCTTTAGATCTCTATTGCTTTTGTAATCAGTAAGTTCTGCTTTCAGATTTAAGTGATCTGGCGGGCTTAATTCTATTTCCTGTATTTAACCTGAGCAAGCAGATTTCAATGGAAGAGGAAATTTCCTGCTAATTTTTTGATTGAATGTCTGGCTGTTGCTACAGAGCTCTTAAATTTCAAAATGCTGCATGATCTAGTTGAAAACAAGCATTAATGTCTCTTAGGAAAGCATGATGAAGTGAAACAGTGGGTAAGATTGTAGCTGTGCACTTTCTCAGTGGGAACACTGTATGAATTTAAACTTCACCTACTCATGACAAACCCAGATATTAAATCACACAAATCTTTAGGCTTCTTCATTTGGAAGATGCTGTAGGATATCCTAACTCACTGAAATGTCCTAAGTTCCCAAGGGAGAAAGCATTTTCTCTTGAGCTCTTGAGTCTATTCTCTCTGGAACACTTTCTCTCTATTCGCAAAAAGAAAAGGAGTGCTTGTGGCACCTTAGAGACTAACAAATTTATTTGAGCATAAGCTTTCATGCTCACGAAAGCTTATGCTCAAATAAATTTGTTAGTCTCTAAGGTGCCACAAGTACTCCTTTTCTTTTTGCGAATAGAGACTAACATGGCTGCTACTCTGAAACCTTTCTCTCTATTGCAAACTTTCAGCAGAGATTCTTCCCATTATCCTGAATTAGGACCACTTTTAAACTTTGACAGGTAATTGACAGTGCCTTACCAGAATGTAGCTTAAGACAGGGTTATAGAACAACTAGTTTGTGTTGGTAGACTTCAGTCTACCAAGACTTCACAGTGGGTGGAACAAAGTGACTGAATAAATCAACTTGATAGATTTGGCAAACTTTAACTTCTGTTTTGTTTTGCAAAAAGAAAAGGAGTACTTGTGGCATCTTAGAGACTAACCAATTTATTTGAGCATAAGCTTTCGTGAGCTACAGCTCACTTCATCGGTATGCATCCGATGAAGTGAGCTGTAGCTCACGAAAGCTTATGCTCAAATAAATTGGTTAGTCTCTAAGGTGCCACAGGTACTCCTTTTCTTTTTGCGAATACAGACTAACACGGCTGTTCCTCTGAAACCTGTTTTGTTTTGGTAACCTCACTGAGTTTCCTACTTGGGAGTTGGGAATACCAATCAGTGGACCATTTCGTTACTTCAGTCAGGCTTTTTAGTATCACAAATTTATAGTAACCAGTTGGAAATCTAAAAAGAGAGGTTTCAGAGTGGTAGCCATGTTAGGTTGTATCAGCAAAAACAATTAAGGTGCCACAAGGACCCCTCGTTGTTTCTACAAAGAAAGGATAGTTCTGTTATGTATTCCCCTCTCCCTTAGCTCTTGTTTAGCTGATGTGCAAGCAAGAACATGGGATAGCTTCTTATTTGAGGCTTACAGCTCTATAAACATGTTTTTGTTCCTGAAAATATATTTAATATGCTTTTAGCTCCTGTGCTCAGTTCTCAAGCGAATGTTAAGCAAGATACAGGGCTCATTTTGGTGAAGCTTGCCTATTTCCTTGGAAGAATGCAGTGAATTGATGCAATTTCTTCACTTCTGGCTGTAGAATACTATGCCAGCAAGCAATTTGTGTCCCCACAAAAGTTAAACTGAAACTTCAAGTCAGTCTCTCTTCCACTGAGCTTGTGCAGTTATTGTAATGGGAGTGATACACACAACCATGTGGTGCTCAATAGGGTGCCAGTTATTTAAGACATGTATTCAAGTCCATCTTAAGATGTGGAGCACTGCTGCCTACATGTTGTAATTTAGTATAACTTAATTTGCATAGTAGAATGGTAAAGTATTTATGCTGAACTATTAAAGTATATTTATGTAGAACATTCTCCTACTGTAGTGCCTCTGCTGGACCTGCCATCTTGACGTTCCAAAACCAGCTGAATAATTAGATTTGTGTTTAACTTTTTTGTAGACTTTCATTGTGTCCAAACCTTTAAATACTGTTTAAATACCATCCTTTGAAGCAAAGGCATTTTACATTTTTGACAGATTTTGGATTTTTATTCTCATACTTTCGTTTTTAAACTTCTTTGAAATGATCAAGCTAAATAAAACATGTAAAATTGTAAAGGTTTTGTTCAGCTCTGTGACTGCAGAGAGGGTTCTAGATCTGATAGGGTTAATTTGCCTGTGGTGGCTCTCTATCTGATGCATGTTTATTAAACTAAATAGTCACTTTCCAAAGAGAAGACATTGAAGGGTAATTTTACTTCACCCATAGAGGAAGTATGATTTAAGAGTTCTCTTCCAAGCTGTTTGTTAGTCACTATTAAGTACACTTATAACACATCCCATTTTTGTTCCACTACCATTTTTAGAATGCTTCCTGCCTTCCTATCACAAATGAACTATTCTAAAATGTCTTTTGCATGGCTGTCACAGGCTGAGTACTGCTCATACTGCAGACACTTACATGGTCCCGCTGCCATATATGGTCCCACTTTATGTGACTTGAGTAATTTAGTATTCTAAGAGTAGCAGTTTACGATAACCAGAAACTCAGGCCGAGGGGTCAAGGTACTGTATAGTGTCAATTAAGAACGAACCCTGGAAGAGTTAGTTCTCTCATCTGTACTCCATTCTGGAATCCAATCAGCTGCTTGTGAAATACTCGAGCATAGATTGGTTGAATTCTGATTTGTGCACTGACAGACTTCTTAAACTACATCTACTTCAGAGCCAAAGCAATTTTCAGCCTTTATAAAAGCTTTTTATAAAGGAACCAAGGGCTTCAAGTAGTCCAGTTATTGAAATTCTCAGTTCCCTTAAATTGCCTCACAGCTGATGTACTAGGTATCTCTTACTGGAGAACTTGCATCTTAAATTTAGGTGCTTTGTCAACAGCTGTAGTTAATGGACAGAGATGGTCAGAGTCTGGTACCCTTAAGCACACACCATGACTTTTCACAAGCTGTGCAGACAGCCCTCAGTGTAAAAAGTTGACCATGCCTATCTTAAGGATACAAGCCCTGTAGACGAAGTACGGCTAGATTGCAAAGTTGCTCATCGGCCTCCTACCATAACTGTTAAACAGCTGAGAACTTGTTTGTTTTTTTTGGTGGGTTTTTACTTTATGCATCCTTTTGTGGTTGGAATGAGTAACTCAGTATTGATAGAGGTGTGATAACTTAAATCATCTCAACTGTCTGTCCCTGATCAGTACACATAGTGATTTTGAGTTTAAAAGCACCAGCACGTAAAAGCCACCTGTTTTAAAGAAATTGCTGATGATTTACAATGTCAAGCCTTCACTTAAGACATTTCGAACTGCCCTTACATGAAGCAATCAAACAGCTGTTGTGCCAAGTCTGTTCCAGGACTTTCTCAGAGTGATAGATGAGCTAAACCCTTACCTTGCATGTTGTCTATTGTGAGCCAGGCCCACTCTCCCTTCTAGCTCTGAAGTTGTGCTGGTTGCCAACACCCCAAAATGAGAGCAGCAGTGTAAAAAAGCCCCAGCTGTGTGCTTTGTCACCAGCAGGGTAGGGAGAGGGAGTAGCTCTGGCAGGAGGATGTGCCTTTCCTGGCCTGATTCTCCTCTGACCAAAATGACAGCTTGTAGCTATAGTACAGGCTCACAGACCATGCCTGCATATGGTTCCAAGCCAGATAAAAAGTTAATGGCCAAGGAGATAGTGGAATATAGGTGAGAGAGAGGGGGAGTGAGGTAATAAGAGCTCTGTATAAGCTAGTTTCTCTCACCAACAAGTTGATCTCTAACATCCTGGCACCAACACAGCTACAATATTGCATACATGGACTATACACAATCACACTTTTCCTCCTGCAATCTCATTCATAGCAGGTATTAGGCTCATCTCTCCATAGAGAGCTAACATTTTAGAGGGTCTTTCTGCATTACTGATCTAACAAGGCAGTGGTGGGGAAGTAAGTGCACTCTTGGAGAGACTGATTAGCTTTGAGTTTTCATGCATTTGCTGTTCCTTTGTCATTAAACCTGTGATTTTTCAATGGAGCTTGATACCTAATTCCAATTAAAATTCAGTAGGATCAGGGTACTTAATTTGCTTAGGTGATTCTGATAAATGCAGCCTCAGTTAAACTATCCAAAGCTGGTGCTGGAGTCACCTTAGCAAAAATAGGATTACTAAACAACTTTACCTAGTTCTTACATGAAGGCTAAGTTTGGTATGCTGTTCATGGTATTGGGTTGTATAAAGCCACACTTCAACCCAGCTGCCTCAGGGAGATCAAGAGCCATGGACTTGTACACAAGTGTGACCAATACATAGACACTAACATCAAGTATGGCAGTTGTAAGGAGTGAAGTTTCATTATATCTACTGATGCCTACCAGAAGGATGGTTTACGGGAGGCATTCTGCTTGTTACTGCCACAGTGCTGGAGTAATGGGGGGGGCTGCATTTCCCCCCAAAGCAAACTACTTTTCTAAACAAGT